GCAGTTATTAAAAAAGAAGTGATTTTTTTCTTGCTCGCTACACTAGTTTGCAAAAAAATGAAATTAACGTCGCTAACAAGTGAATGTTCCCACCCCCAACTTGCAACAATACCACTTTATATACCAAACGTTACTTCAAATTTTTTTTTTGCTCGCTCGCTCGCTCGCCAGAAGTGAAAATTAGCATCGCCTTTTTTGTTTGTTTCGGTCGCTTGCCCCCCCCTGACGGAGTACCCCAGGTACGCCACTGGTCAGAACAAAATCCACATCACCACCAATTAGCATAATGCAGGGGCGGCGGAGTGTCTTCCAAAGTAGGGGGCACCAACGAAAAGGGGCACTTTCTGGAGAAAAAAGGGGGCACCTACAAGGGGAAACATCACTAAAATCAAACACCATTTTTAGACATCAATATTTGTTTCTTTCTTCACGTGGTACAAGATACTTCGCAGTTGGGTGCGATGGTCTGAATATTAATTTTCGAGCGAGCGATTTTAACATTTGTGAGGTCCCAGTTTGAAAAATTACATCTTATATAGAAGACAAAAAACAAACCCTGATGAGTATTTATCTAATGAAGAAAGACTGAACATTTCTTTTATGAATAACATAGTTATAACATCTTAATGCGAGTGAGCTCTATAGGGAAAATTAAAGAAATGGGCTTTAAGTCGCCTTGAATTAGGGATGCATGTTATGGAGCAAGGAAAGTAGGCACTTATCAGAAGGGAAAAGGATAGTGCACCTGAAAAGGGACACTCAACATGCAGAGATGAAAAAAAAGGCACTTGTGAGAATGGAAATTAGGAATAGTATGTTGGAAGGAAAAAGGCATCTTTCAGATTTTGATAAGGGAATTCATCAGATATTTAAAGCCCCACTGCACTAGTTTGGCCAGGAGGGATTATACCTCCCTGCATGGTCACTTACAGGTGGTTATCTTATCAAATAAGATAAGAAAAAGGGGATCACGGGGACCAATGGTCACCGATTAGGCATTGTTTGCTATACAGAGGGCACAAGTATCTGTAAGTAGTGCAGTGGGGCTTTAAAAGGGGCATTTTGAAAAGGGGGAGGGGCTCATACAAGAAAAGGAAAGGGAAGTAAATATGGGCAAAAATATCAGAGGTGAAAATATGAATTTCTCGCACCTAAAAAGAGGTACTCATGCACCAGAAATGAAAAGGGGCACTTATCCTATGTCAAAAGGGGCACTTTGAGAGTACCTGGAAAAGTGGGGGGGGGGGGGGGGGGGCAGTGCCTGCCCCCCCCCCCCCCCCGCCACTGGAAGTGAAGAAACAAAACCCGGAAAATCACGTCATTTCAGCAACAAATTGTAAATTACTGCTACTGTTACTGATACACGTTTTTCATGAAGTTGAAGTTATTTCAAAAGATATTTTGAATAAAACGAAATTTTCTCATGGCATCCCGGTTAACAATGCTATAATAATGGTCCAAATTTAAGGGGACAGATTGGCTACGCCTGGAGGATGGAGGATATATATCCCTTGAAAAAAATTGCATTAAAACGGACACACGTCCATACTCACTCTCTCTGTCTCTTTTTCCATATGTCATCTACCTTTCACTCCTATCTCCATTACGTTTCCCCCTCTGCTCAGGGGCGTCGCCAGGATATTGTCGGTAAAATTGCGCTGCTCTCGGGAAAAAGAGAAAAGGGGGAGGGAAAAAAGAGAGGGAAAAGAAAGAGAGGGAAAAAAAAGAGAGGGAAAAAAGAGAGGGAAAAAAGAGAGGGAAAGGGAAAGAAAGAAGAAAAAAAAAAGAAAAAAAAAAAAGAAAGGAAAAGAAAGGAAAGAAAGGAAAAGAGAGAAAAAAAAGAGAAGAAAGAAAGAGGAAAAAAAAGGGGGGAGGAGAGGAAAGAACGGAAAAGAAAGAAAAGAAAGAAAAAAGAAGGGAAAAAGAGTGAAAGGGAAACAAAAGAAACGGGGGATGAAAGAGAGGAGAGAGAGGGGAGGTAAGAGTCTGAGAGAGGAGGAGTGGAGTAAAAGAGAGAAGGGGGTTGTGGGTGGAGTCGTCTCGTCGAGGGAGCAAAAACGACATGGGTAAATATGTTGCTGTGTCGGGTCAGCTGTGTCGGTATTCTCGCTCGATCCTCGTGTACTATATCAATACAGAAGTTTGAAGTCGGTGTGATGTATATTGTCGGTCGGCCGACAAGTTTTTTTCCCTACGAACTGTGACTTCTTATCCGCTGTGACGACTTCGAGAGTGACTACAACTATACTTTTATTTTCTCGAAGTTTCACTTGCCTATAATATCAGCTAAAGAAATCAGAGGTTTAAAATTTTCGGGGAAACTAAATTCAAATAAGGGTTAAGAGTCAACAACGGTACGACGAATCGTCTTCCTTTCTTTATATTGCGATGAAACGCCAAAAATTCCGCGCTTAGCGCGAAAAGGGAAAACTTCGTTTAGACGAGTCGAGAACGGTACAACGAATCGTCTTCTTTCTCTAATAAGTTCTGGAAACGTCAAAGCTTCCGCGCTTCGCGCGAGAGGGGGAAACTGAATTCAGACAAAATTAATAGGCTTATTTAGAGTCGAAAACGGTACAACGAATCGTGTTCTTTCTCTAATAATAAGGAAACGTCAAAGCTTCCGCGCTTCGCGCGAGAGGGGGAAACTGAATTCAGACAAAATTAATAGGGGTTAATATTTTGGAGTCGAAAACGGTACAACGAATCGTGTTCTTTCTCTAATAATTTAAGGAAACGTCAAAGCTTCCGTGCTTCGCGCGAGAGGGGAAACTGAATTCAGACAAAATTAATAGGGCTTTTTTAGAGTCAAAACGGTACAACGAATCGTGTTCTTTTTCTAATAATATAAGGAAACGTCAAAGCTTTCGCGCTTCGCGCGAGAGGGAGAAACTGAATTCAGACAAAATTAATAGGGGTTATTATTTTGGAGTCGAAAACGGTACAACGAATCGTGTTCTTTCTCTAATAATTTAAGGAAACGTCAAAGCTTCCGTGCTTTGCGCGAGAGGGGGAAACTGAATTCAGACAAAATTAATAGGGCTTTTTTAGAGTCAAAACGGTACAACGAATCGTGTTCTTTTTCTAATAATATAAGGAAACGTCAAAGCTTTCGCGCTTCGCGCGAGAGGGAGAAACTGAATTCAGATGAATGGGGCTTATTAAGAGTCGAAAACGGTACAACCAATCGTCTTCTTTCTCTAATAATTTAATGAAACGTCAAAACTTCCGCGCTTCGCGCGGGAGGGGGAAGCTTCATTCAGATAAGGATTAAGAGTCGAGAACAATACACCGAATCGTCTGCTTTTTCTCATAATTTAATGAAACGTCAAAGCTTCCGCGCTTCGCACGGGAGGGGGAGAAACTGAATTCAGACAATGATTAAGAGTCGAGAACAATACACCGAGTCGTCTACTTTTTCTCATAATTTAATGAAACGTCAAAGCTTCCGCGCAATGCGCGGGAGGGGGGAACTGAATTCAGAAAAGGATAAACAGTCGAGAACGGTACAGCAAATCGTCTTCTTTTTTATAATAATTTAATGAAACTTCAAAGCTTTCGCGCTTTGCGCGAAAGGGGGAGGGGGGGGGGGGGACTTCATACAGCCAAGGATTATACTAGTCGAAAACGGTACAATTAATCGTCTTCTTTTCCTAATAATTTAAGGAAATGTCTAAGCATCCGGGCTTCGCGCGGGAGGCCCATCACCCACACCCCACTAATGAGCGCGCTTCAAAAATGATTCTCTTGCTCACTACCGCCCCTCCCTAAAATAAGATCCTAGCTCCGCGCCTGCATTAAAATATATAGCTATGATGCTGACTAAATTGAAGAAATAATTCGTATATTTATGTCGTCGAGGAAAATGACCATTTTGCGCATATGCAAGTACTATAGATAGTCCATAGGAAAAACAATTTAGCCTTCGGCCCCAGGTTTATAGGGTTGAATTTGTAAATATTGGACATTTAATTTTGTCGGTAATTAGTGGCTAGTTTTGTCGGTAATATACAGGCCTGGTAATATACCCCCCCCCCACTGAAAAAGATCTAGCGACGCCCCTGCCTCTGCTGTATAGGCCTACTACATCAAAGACACATATCGGATCACTCCAAAACACTTTCGAAATATTTTTGATGCACCTCTTACAACATATTTCAATTACTGGTTCGCATAGATCGATTTAAAATTAATTTTCCTCAAAAAAAAAACTCCCCCAACCGGATATTAAAAACAGTTCAACCCTTTCCAGATTCAAAAATCTAAGCAGGGAAATCTTAACTTCCGATAATGTTCTTGATATTCTTGTTCGCTCTTCTATTTTCTTTGCCCTCATATTATGTATAGATATTTAGATATACATATAGATTTTGCTGCTGCTGCATGCTCCAAGAAGTGTACCTTTTTTCCCTTGTTTATATTTATGATAAATGGTGATTTTCTTTGTATAAGTGTTGTTGATCTTTGTATGTATTTCAATTTGGTGGACCTTTTTATAAGCCCTGCTTTCTCCGGGGTCACCAAACCATCACTAGCTGTACGTTGATTGTTTATTTGATGGTTGAATAAATAAATTACTTTAATTTAATTGAATAATTTGAAAATATTATAATCTTTGAAGATCGTTTTCGTGTAATCTATCTCCTCATATTATCTCAAGTTCTTTTACCTTAGTTCTCCTTATCTCTCCCCTCGATCTCACCTTTTAAAAAAAATTGTGTTGGCTCGCTTCTTTAAAAAAAAAAAGTTGTTCCTGTAAAGGTGATCTGTGTTTTAACAAGCTGTGCTTTTTTTGCAGACCACCTCTTTTCCACATTTGTTAAAGTCTTTATAACTGTTTAATTGTTAATGTATTTATGCTAGTTGACGATGAACTTGTTGCTTCTGTTCCTGAATGAAATGTTTTTTATGCAAGTGGAAATAAATAAATAAATCTTAAATCTTGAATCTTGTGGGCTAGGCTGGCTTATTGTTGGCGAATGATGGCGCTAGACCGAAAGCTTCAGTCCAGTTCCGCTGACGTCTCTGGCTCCACTGGCAGCCTATTTTCAAAAACGTCTTTTTCTCTACTGCATGCACCTGCCTCTACTCATATCATTGGTGTGGATTATGCCTCTGGAGCCTGGTACTGCACTGTGTGGTAGTGTACCGACGTACATGGATCAGTTTACGCCCTATAATTGACTTGAAGCTACCGTACCGGTTCCCACAACATAGCTAAGGACCAATGTGTACATGTAAGCTAGCTACCATGCAACTGCCGGACACCGAGACAGATGTCGTTAATTAACTTATACCAAGGTAAAGTAGATCTAGACTATGTAACTTAGTCTACAAGATTTATCGGTAATTCTTTTTAAAAATCCTTGAATCTCTACTTTCATCTGTTCATCCATGTTTTGTTTGGTTTCATATCTTCCAAATAGTACTTTTAATCATAGCCATAGCATAGATGCCTAAATAATGTTTTGAATAGTATTCTCAGAAATGCTAAACTGAGAATCGAAAGTATGACTGTGATGGAGTTTGGCCTTGAGTGTCCGGTCCCTGCTCCCCCCCCCCCCCACTCCGTGATCGGAGGGATACCATGCGTGTTCCCAAAATGTCCGGTAAAGGGGTACTTTTCACGCACCAAAGTCCGGCTCGTATAGCACACAAAAATCTGGCCCATATTAACTTTACACACCGGACTTAGGGGAGTGTTTTCAACAGAAGGGAACATGCATATGCGTACCCTAAATAACACTGAGTGGGGGGGCCGGGTCCGGATACACTTCTCTACAAACATACTTCTCTAGACCCTACTTGTACTTCGATCTACGTTGCGTCGGTAGGCCTACTACTACTAGCTTAATTGACAGGATCCACCAAGCATTTCAAGGTTGAAATGTCTTCGGATTTAACAGACATATATATCAAATGGCCTTTGCCATTGTTAATATGTCCTTTATAATTAATATGTGCAACATAATAAATCTTGAGTATTTTTAAAAAGTATGGGTTAGTGTCTCTGTGATGTAGTGGCGGTCAATTTTACAATTTGTTCCAACATGACTAAAATGTATGATTTTTTTCTTCTATTTAGAGAACATAGAATCATATATATTACAATCCATATTATAAGCTTTGTGCCCCATGCAAGTGCAAAAGTACTTCAGAGAAAAACAGAAATCAATGATAATTGTGTACACAACAAATGGGAGAGTTGACAGTAACTACATCTACATGTATGTCACAACCTACTGACTAAATTGGCAATTTGAGAGCTGCATCTATATTTAGTATAATCTCATAATCCAAACATTCATAACTCTTATTCTTGTGGCGATTTATTTCAATCTTTCACTATTCTCAATTCTGTCCCTATTATTTGTCTGCTTTCATACAAATAAAAACTTCTTACAAGGGTTGAATTGCCTTTTAAGCCGGCAAATTTGCTAGCAAATTTCTTACAGTTATTTGGTTTGTTTCTGATTGTTTATATGCGTTTTAACTGTCAAGTGATCGACAGGCCCGCCCCCCCCCCCACTTAGTTATTTAGGGTACGCATATGCTTGTTCCCTCTTTTTGAAAGCACCCCCTATCTGAGGACTGCCAACATTTCTGAACCCCCCTTTCGCGGGCTTTTCCTGCCTTGGAGACCCCCCTAAATCATGTAAAATGCTCAATGTACCCTCTAAATTCAGAATAATTTCTCAGGAGTCCAAAGAGATGAGAGAAAAAGAAGAAAAAACACCCCTTTTTTAAAGAAATCTCCGGGAGAAAAGTTAATACACCCCTTTTTTTACAATTCTGGGCCGGATTTTGTCGCACGAAAAGTACCGGACATTTTTACCGAACATTTTGGTAACACGCATGGGGTCCGTTCGTTCTTGGAGTGGGGGGGGGGGGGGGGGGGGGGGCTGGGTTGACAGGGTTGTGACTTTACAAATGACGAATTCAGGCAGGAATTTAACAGGTTATAATAAATGTTTAATCATCAAGATATCCATTACATTCAAGGTCAGACCCCCTTCTTCTGCAAATCTCCCGCATCAATTCGAAGAAGGGTCAACAAAATATAATTTTTTCTGATCCCACTATTTGGAATAGTCTCCCTTTAAGCATTCGTTCCTGCACCTCAGTCGCATCATTTAAGAGAAATTTAAAAACTCATTTGTTTTCTTTGTAATTGTTATTTTTTAGAGTGTAATGCACTTGGAGAGTATGTAACTATTCTGTTTTTATTTTAAAATGTAAAGCGCCTTGAGCATGTTCATGTAAAGGCGCTATATAAATAGCAATATGTATGTATGTATGTATGTATCATCATAGTGTAATGTGAAGTAACACTAACAACAATCTTTAAAAAAGAAGGAAAAAAGGAGAATAGTCCTGGTAATTATTTAGTATAACCTCTTTAAACCAAAGAGCTAACAAACTTTCAAATAAAAGAGTACTTGACTACCATGAGAAAAACAATATATTTTTTGCAAGCACATACCGGTACATACATGTACTAACTTGTAGTATTAAGTTTTCTCTTATAAATCTAATAAATGATGTGATAAAATCTATTTATTAGGGCAGATTAACACTTTGGTGTTTTTCTAGACTTTAAAAAAAAAACTTTTGTTGCTCCCTCTTATCCTTTATATAGCTTTAGAATGATTGTATTTTAATTTGATTTTTCTTTTTTTTTTAATGAAAAATAGATTTCATGTTCAAGTTGGAAATATCTTTGTGTAATTTGGAAGGACCAAAAATTGAATTTGCTTCTTCCAACTAATGAAGGGAGTATTCATTCCTTTCTAGACAACGTGAAAAGCTCAATATTTTGGACTATTTTATTTCTTCTTTGAGCTACTCCTAGAGCTTAATGATTGAGCTTAAAGGTTTTGGTATGGGGTCATGATTTGGTTCAAATGAACATATTGGAAGCATATGCGATATCCTACAATATTCAGGGATCGTTGTGGCGGTTGAAACCGAGTCTAAAGTGAGAGTTGTAAATAATAAACTCTTTATGTTGTATAGCTCCCTCTCAAGGTCAAGATATCAATTTAGCTATAAACAATGTTTCGTGACTAAAATCGACTGATTTGCTATTCTCGTTTGGAAATTACAACTACATATTCTGAGATTTTCATGGTCGCAGCTACCATTGTTTGGCCATAGGCGCTATTCGAAATTTATCAAAATTTACCAGGAGCACCGGTAAATTTTGTTATTCAATTTGTCTCGAAAGCAGAAGGTTTAGGGGCTAAATTTTCTGTTGCTCATAATACATCCACAGGGGCATCCATATCAAAATTGTAAAGAATCACTATCCAGCCAATTTTCAAAATTTCCCAAAACTTTGTATTCCCTCTAATGCTCAATCATGTCAATCCATAGGTATTAATCTCAACCTGTAGATACATACACCATGATATTGCGTCTACTGGTACCAAACACAAGTCTCCCTAATCTAGTTTTCTACAATTTATAATTGAATAAACTCCGAGGGATATCTAAAGTCTTCATCATGGGCCTTGAAGATTTAGGGATCATATTCCTATTTTTTTGAAATACAGGTTATGTAATATTTTTACCCCAGAGAGCAAGATTTTTTGCAGATCGAGGCCCATGAAAGAAAAGTTAAATGAGTGTTAGAATGTAATCATGATCTTTAATTTCTCCCTCAATGAGTTACCAGACTTACAAGTATAAAATATATTAAAGATTTGACAAGGCCACCTGAACACGTAGGAAGCCAGATCAGAAGAGGATCTACCACACTACTACAGTGTACATAGTGTACATTAATTCAATGTTCTTTTTTGTTCTTCTTTGTTCACCTATGAATGTTATCTCTAGATGGTGCCAAAGCTCCTGTGTTGTACAGACAACCTTCTTGTGTTGCCAGTATGTGGAGTCTTCATGACGCTTCTTGGTCTGGTACTATTAATCATCTATCTCGTTGCAAGAGGAATCACCTCTTCACTACATCTTGTTGATGCTCCAATCCCAACGTATCTAGCTGCACTTCTAGTGAGTATCTTCTTTGCCTTACTGTGAACTGATAATACATTTGGTATTAAACTCTGACCATTTAAGCCTGTAAGAACATGTGATAATTCAGTATTGTATTCAAGGGGGGGGGGGGTACTCAAATTTGGTTTGGACGAGGGTGTGCCGCTCAAGCCTCGAAACCCCCTACCCATTATTAGGGGGCATTTAGGGGCATTTTTCTAGAAAAAAGACCCATTTTTAATGGTATTTTGGATAAAATGTGAGACCCATGTTTAGGGATTTTGTGAAAAAGTGACCCATTAGAGTGGCACACCCCGTACATGTACGTCCTAATATGTGAATACCCCCCCCCCCCCCGATCGTATTACATGGTTTATGTGCTCTAATATCTAATCTTTAAGTATTTAGAATAAATATGTTTGTGCTAACTTTCTCTTCTTGCTTGCATATTAGTAAGGTCTAACTCTAAATGTTTTTTTGTAGAAGAGTAGAAAAATAGGCAAGGGGGAGGGTGTTTGCCTTTTAACTAGTGCTGGGAGTTAGAGAGAAAAGCCTGGTCAAGAACCGGATAAGAAAATTTGCAATATTTTTGCAGGTACCCGAAACCGAACCAGAACCTGAAAAAAACTGAAATATCTGATAAGTTTTGACCGACATATATGCCAGTACGATGTGTGATATTAGAAGCGGAAAGTATGCACTTAAAACAAGAATCCATCGTCCCTTTCACTTGCGTTCATATTTATACAATTATGGCAATTCAAGTTTCTCATTCTTTAGGACAGCCTACGTAATTATTGAATTGACTTTCCTCCGATTTACTTGCATTCCACAATTCTATAGGATAGTCAGATGTAAATACATGTACAAACATTGTTAGATAAAGAATTTATTTGTAATTTTAATGGACTCACACCTGATTTAGGTTATATCAAGTACCAAATTATCTCTTTTATTTTAGACTATTGCCCTAGGTGTTTTCTTGATAATTCTACTGAAGAGGAGGCATGTGATTTTGGTGAGTATTAATTAATGAAACAAAGTGGATTTACCTGCATGCTTACGCCTCCTCATGAGAAGGTTAAACAAAAAATAATAGAAATGAAAAGTATCTGGTGTGAACTTTTGAAAAGGGGAAGATGTGGGCACTTTTGTATTTCTTAGTCCAGTGCCCAATGCAATACGCTTTCTCTGCAACTTGCAAGGACTGTGTATTTTGCCCAAGATATTTGAATCTCGTTGCTAAATTACATTGTGTTGTGTGATAGTATGTTGGACTCCAATCATGCGCACAATGCTCCACAAGACTGCAAAAGAGATAACTATGATTTTTAAAAGAAAGCAAATTTTGACTGGCTAAGATTTCCATTATTCTTATTACATGTAATCTGGTATCAAATGAAAGCTAAAGTTCATAAACCACTCTACTTTATTATGATTTTAAAAGTAAGTTTAGTGAAACAGTCATGATGTCTGAACTTTGAAACTTTAAATACTAGGTACTTCAAATCAAAAGCAACACTGCCCTTACAGAGTCGTTCAGAAATATTTTTTTTGAGCAGTTTTAATATTGTGGTCAAAATTTGGCAGATGTGACTACAATTGTGGCACTAACTTCAATCTATTGTACTCTACTTTATGACTTTTATAATGCTATGAAACATGATGTAGTATTTAATAAACAATGACTCTGGAAAAGATCTATACTTTCTGCTACAGTTTGAGTAATTTTCCTTGTAATTATGCAATCATAAAGCCTAAAAAAAGTATGAATTGTTTTGAAGATTTTAATGAGTTTTGCAAGAATATAACATGATTATTGCCATATTTATGTAACAGAAAAAAATTATGATGAAAATATTAGAAAACCAAAAATAACCAAGATTTGTACGATACCATTTCGTCTACATGTATTTGTCATCTGCCATCTTGAGTGCATGTATAGATTCCTTGTATAGTACGTTCCCTATAAAAAAATGTACTAGATGTAGATGTACCTTTGATATCACAGGATGTATACTTAATTAGATATACATGTACATTAGGTTTTCAAAATTAAAAGTGCATCATGGAAAATAAAATCACCAAATGGGAGTGAGCTCAGACACACCATCTTATATGTTTTGATGTATAAGCATGGAAACTTAGACAGTTTACTGATGTTATGATCATGTTAAAAATAAAATGAAATATTATAATAACAAATTACATTTGCTTTAAAATATTATTTATTCATCAAACAGACCTGATAATTACCTGATTTAAAACGGTTTCCTGATTTTTTTGATTTTTTTTTCCAGATTTGTTTTTCTTTCTTTTTCCCGATTTCATCATAATTTTCCTGATTTACCACTAATGTAGCTTGTTGTATATTGTCTTTGTACATGGTTCTATTACTCTACCATCATTACATGCCAACTCTGTTTTATTGATTGATACTACTTAGATCATCCTGTCCATATTATTGAGTGTGGTAGACCTGATAGTATGCATCGTCCATGCTGTCACCGCAGCCCTGGTATCTATCCCATTCCTTGCTAGCTTCTCAGTCTGTGTCCTTAGAGCAACCAGCTCTGAATGTCAGTGTTACATTCTAGGAGAGGGTAATACTAATAGTACCGTCATCGTGCCTGGGGGTAAGTGAACATTATCTTTGGATTTTATACTTCATTTTTGCCATCATGTACATGTATATTTCCCTCTCTTTTCTTAGTGCATATGGGTACTTGGAGTTGAAAGTTGATAACTTCCACCTTTCCCCCCCCCCCCCAAACACAAATCTGGAATGTCCCCCTTCGAATGCTCTATTTGAAAAGCAGGCTTGTATAGAACATCATTTCACCCACTGAAATGAACACTTACATGTGATTTTAATTCAATTCAATTCATTTCAAACACACAATAAAAAGACAGAGGATTAAAAAAAAAAGTACTAGTACTTTAAAACATGCATGTGTGTAAAACATGACATTACAATGATATGTGAATGGGGGCAATGGGGAAGACAACTTTTATACAAAAAAGCTGCCTAAAGAAGAATATTTCATTACATTAAATAAATCACTTGTAGGCCTGCTCTTGACATTTTTTGTTAAAAATGCCTGTGTTTTAGTTGTTATGACTTCTGAATACTATTCTATTTATTCATTTATCAGAAATGATAAAAAGGTGTTTTAAAAAAAAGTGATTTTGATTTTATTTTTAGCAGACCATTTATGAAAATGCATAAAATATTGGAGGTGCACAAATTCAAGAGTGTAATTATAAGTCTAGCTCTGTGCTTTTTTGTACCATCAAACCTAGGGACTAATGATTGATTGATTGATTTGACGTTTCTTATTGTGTATCTCTGTCATTTAACATGTCTTATTGTGTATCTCTGTCATTTAACTAGATGGAACCAAGCACTACACCTTCCTAGATGCTAAGAGCTGTGGCTCTATTGAGATGTCTTTGAAGGACTTCCTCTATACCCTCTCTATTGTGTATAGCTTTGGAGCCATTGGCTGTGTGGTATCTGGTACCCTCTCTACACTACTACTATGCAGCAGTAGAAGGTCCTTTAAAGATGAGGTGAGTGAGACAGTATTCATTGTTTCAAGTTACAAGGAGAGGAGATTAATATATGCAGCTTGTAGGCATGTCACGGGTCAGTAGTTTGGATGGTAAGGATGTCGATTCAAGCTCCAGCACAGCACTTTTGTTCTTTGGCAGGACATTAATCTACACTTGCCTTTTTTTAACCCAGGAAAAGTAACTGGGTACTAGCTTGGCGGGACAAAATTTGTGCTTCAATGGTAGTGATGCTAATGCTGCGCTAAAATACAATTAAGTGCCAGGACTACGTTACATGAGAGATTTCTGTAGACCATTTTTTAATTGCATTTTAATGTTAATAAATGTATTATTGTGATACCAACTTTGATTTAAAAAAAAATTATATTGTCCAGTTAACAACTATGCAGGAACTATTCAATTTTGTACAAATATGTTGTCAAATAGTATTGGTAACAGACTTAATGTTTGTCAGCTTAGAGGCAAAATATGATTATACCTTTACACATGCAGCTACAATGCCAAATATTGCAAATGTTTCTGAAAGATAAGAGTCTTTCCTCTAGAAGTCTAAATCTCAGTCTCAATAAGTGTATAATAAGGGGCTGATTTGTTGTGGTTGCCAGTGTGTGCAATAATCTGAATTGTGTGGTAATTTTGTCCAGGTTGAAGAGGAAGGTGTACCTTCAAGAGAAGAAAGAAGAAATCAACAGACAATCCGACATGAAGGTAATTTATGTTCAAAATCAAATCCCTGAAGTCATATTGCTTTTGTGTCCTACTTAAATTTCAACAGTACTTTATCATTGTAATGATCTCTAATAAATACAAATCTATAGGCTGCATGTACCATACCTGTTTCTTGACATAAAATGTGTTTTGGACATTAAAGGAAACCCCCAAAGAAAAAGTGTATGTACATGTATGCTGAGAAAGTGAGAATTGAGATGTATTCCTGCCCTTTGATGTATATTATTCCTTACGAAAGTGTACAAGGGATGTATATAAAAGAAAATATTTGTGGCATGATGTAATATCTTATAGCATGACATGGGGGCAGCAATTTTCTTGATAATGGGATGTACTAGGCGGCAACTTGTAGTATCATGCACCAAGCTTTAGTTGGAAAGAATTTTTAATTCAATAACAAAACCTTTACTTTTCAATGAGCAAACAAATCATATTTGATAAAAAGTATATAACATGGGAAACATTGTAACTCATTTATTAAAAAATATATATGGCAGTTGACCAATCTATTTCATTTATGCAAAACTTTCACCCAAGGAGAGCACTAACTTATTTATGCAATTTGCATTCTGGCAATTGTACTACAAAGGATGATAGCAGGTGAATTAAATACTTCATCACCACACACGCACCTTGGTAGGAAGCATCCCTAAATTTGAATACATTTACTTGATTTCATAAACAACTTCTCATAGTACGTCACTACCTCACATTATTAAGAATGTGGTGATACCCGTGTCATGCTAAGAAACCGTTCTTTATTCTTGCTTTATACCTCTCCCATACACTTTGATGGGGAATCTTGTAGATTAATGGGCAAGAATACAATTTTAAAAAATGAGAATACCTAAAGTTATTTTGAGGGCGAGGTTTCCTTTTATCTATCTCTGATTGGCCAAAGTGTCCTCAGTGCCCCTAAACTCTTTCATTCAAGGCCTGTGATTTGTAGTGAAAGTACTGGTAAATATTTTAAATCAGTGTAGATCAATAGCTGATTTAATCGCTGTTGACTTTCCAATTATTAGCCACCACAAAAGATAAATCATTCATATTCTTATCCTGAAACCAAATGTTAATTTTGTCAAATGGTTTACATCCTATGATGGTGTGGATAGGTAAAATGGTACAAGTGAAGGTTACCGGTAATGTCTTGCTTTTTTCATACAAAGTTTTGATCTTTTTGTATACCAAGAGACTGCCATATATTGGCTTGCAAATGTGGCACAGCTGTGAGCTTCCTTTCATTGTGTTAATAGGCGGATTGGTTGATGGTTCATCTACATGTATTTACTCATTTGCTTTTCATGTTTATTTAACAGAAGAAATTCGAGGAAGAAACAGTGTTGCCCAGAGAAGTTTGGATAGAGCAACCAGCCAGCTGACACCTGTAAGAAGTGGATCAGAAACAGTAGCCTTGGTGACACCTCAAGGTGCCAGGTCTCACAGGGATGTTGGAATAACTCCTGAAAGCAGACCTGTGAGAAGATCAGCAAGTGCTACTACCCCAACACATGCTACATCTGTAGCTGCAGCAGTGACACCAAGTAGCTATACCAGACCAGCTATACGCTCCCATTCTGTTGCCCGATCCAGTGGGGAGTGTGGAGCCAGACAGAGGCCAAGACTCCCTGTGCTTGTTAGGGGTGGTTACCTTCAGAGTCATGTCAATGGCCTAGAATACCAATCTACATGGTCCATGGTTCAAACGAGTCCTACATAGCCCTCACAGACCTTCCCAAACTGCAGCTGCCTGCTCTAAATCAGGTTCCGGCCTATGTTCGAGAATTACCAGATCTCCCAAATTACGAGCCACCTCCATACAGTCCAACTGCAGAAACACTCTCAGAATCACCAGAGAGAACCAACACTGAGCAGCCCAGTCAGTCACCTCCAGCAAGACAATGCTTGTTTGAAGAAGATGCTGTCTCTGTACAAAATGAATTACAGGAATTAGAGCTTCAATTCACAGTGCAGAATGACCCCTCAAGAACAGGAGGTGATCGACTTTCAGGAAATGCAGGAGATGGTCAACTTGAAGGAGATTCTGGAGACGATCAAATACCATTGGGAACAGATGGAGTAGTGGAAACTTTAGACTCGATCAATAGTGACCTGCAGGAGAATACCATAGATCCAAACCAATCAACACCACAAGGGACTGATGATACCACCATACATGAAGCAGTACAGGAAGCTAGTGGTAATGGGAGTGATGCTGGCATTGTAAACCCAGTGTTTGAGGAGGAGGACACAGATACTGTGGAAGACATCAATCGACCACCTGATATTCTCCTGGAGGCTATTGAATCAGCTAGATCAAGCATTAACACATCTGCAAATGTCCTAGATGCCTTCCAAAATCACAATGTTATTAATCCTCCAAGAAGCACCTCACCAGTCAGGTTTTCAGGGTCAATCTCTAATGAGAGAACCATCTCTTCCCAAGCAGTAGTAACTCTGAGAACTACTTCACAACCTAAACAGGATGTGAAGGTAAATCAACAAAAATGTATGAACCATTCAGACAGAGCGAGTCGAGCACGACATCCAAGCCGAACCACCAATCTCCAAGAGCATTCAGTTGAGCTTCAACAGAGACTTGTAGGGCTTTCAAGCAATCAAGCAAGAGGAGAACCACTGGAAACTTCTCTGAACAATCACAGTCAAAGTACCGATGCTAGATCCAAAGAAGTTAAAAGGAGCAGAAGTCTCTCTGCTGCAAAAAATATAGGGCCTGAATATTCACTACAAGAGATTCCGTCCATGTCAAACAAAAGCAAAAGGCACTCCGAAACATATGGTAGACAAAGAAAATATGAGTATGGTACTAAAACAAAGGATCACACCTATTTGCCTGAAGACAGAAATAATGGAATGCGATATAACCCTGCGACAACCCAAACCAAAGTCAGCCCAGATAGGGCCAGACGGAGAAGCCGTGATCATTCAAGGCAAAGACAACCAGGGGTATCAAATGGTGAAAATTTATCTGACATCATTAATCTGGTAGAGGCAGTTCATCATGGTTCTCCTCAAGTCAAACACTCTACAAAGAAGAAGAAGAAGAAAAGGGAATCAAGTAGGAAGGATAACGTAGTTGAAAGTAGAATTTAAGAGAAATTATTTTAATTCCATCCTAAAAAGGAAACAAACTCATGTAATAGGTAGACTTTGAACAAAACACTTCCTACCGTGTCCTTCTTTAAAGCCATTATTGTGAGTTCTCATGAAGAATATCTAACAAGTGCCGACAGAGTCTTATGCTGTATGCACACCCTTCATTAAGTACAGAAGAATTATCCTAAAAGGATATATGTATTATCATCAGAAATTTCTTACCGGAACCATGACTGAGTGCTTTCAATCTCTTCCAGGCAACGCTCTGGGTAATTGCCAGATGGGCCACATGATTTGACATCTACCGTATATAGTGTGTAAACCTTATATATGCCTTGAGGGAAATGTGTAGCCTCTCCCAACCAGCAATAACAATTGCCAAAATATATATGTATTTTCAAAACTTATTTTTAAATGTCCATTTCATTGCGATCCATTCCAAGAAAGCCAATTAAATCAGCTGTGGTGTAGTAAAATAAACTATGATTATGCATATTCTCTAGGTACTTGTGAGAGCCATCCATTCTTTTACAGACTTTTCACAACTTGTTTAATGGCTGATTTGCAAATTGAAGTTGGCATTATATCGCAGAGCTCTACACCAACTTTTTTTTTTGGAGGGGGTCTGTATATACATGGAAAATTATTTTTGGTCTGTACTGAAATTTTGTGTGCTCATGTATCTCTGGCACCTATTATTGTCTAGCCCTAAATTATGCTGCATAATACCACTTGGATATGTGGTCTTTGTAAAAGTAAATTGAACGTTGGACTTCATTCACTGTTATTTAAGTCTGTAATAAAGTACCGGTATGCATTATTTTATACAATACATTCTATGAGATGATCCAAACTATTATTCAATTTTTTGAAATATTTCTAGTTGTAATGAAAAGATTTTCCAGGAAGCCCAATCATTCCCATGTATGTGGTACCTGTAACTTATTTGATAACCATATCAGCTTTTTAACATATACCTCTAAATGCCACTACTTCACGGCAGACATTGTAAATGTAACTTACTTTGAGCCTTATGTCTATATGTAATGCATGCAGTACAATCTGTACTCTTTGAAGTCCGATTCAGAAAGACCTATGAATAAAAATGTAACAGTAAACAGCGAGACCTGTCCACTTACTTCTACCACTTTTAAAAATATGTCAGAAATATTTGCAGTTTTACAAGATATTTTATATATGAGGTACAACATGTCTTTTAGCTGAACATTGACCCATGAATTGTATGTTAGTCGGGTTGAAATAGGGTTTGACCCTCCAAGAAACAACATTGCAACTACAGGTTTTTCAACAGTTTCTGATAGTGTTTGACATCATGAAAAACATACTTAAACTCTAAGAAAATTTGACCCCTGGAAAGCAGTTTTTTCTCCAAATAAACTTTAAAGGTACCTTTTGCAGCCAACCTCAAATGCTGTAGAACTTTGCAGGAATTATGAATATGTCATGTATGTCCTATCTGTGAAATTTAAACCTTAGCAGTGTCCTCATATTCAAATTATGCAAGGAAACCTGTTTACTTGCTGGACTTCACTGTCAGACACCTTTGAGTGACTGACTGGCTTTTTTTCTTCTTTGGTAATAACATACATGAAAAGAGTTGTAAAGGGTACATGAGCATTTGTCTACATCAATAACCCACTTCTTGTGATGGCCAAGATTAAACTGATTGAATCTTTGCGCAGCATAAAACGTATGACCATTCAGTACAATTGTCTGAAAATCAAGACTATTACTTTTGGGCTCTATAGCCCTAAAGTCGATTTGACAACTAATAGTTGTTATTTCCCCACTTGAAGACATTTTCAAGCCCCCCCCCCCCCTTTTTTAGGGAAGTTCTAAATTAGTATTATCTTTTAAATGCAGTTGGAATTTAACTTTTTCATTTTTTTGGCCTGCAAATGGGACATAGTACCTTTAAAATAGCCATTAATCATGATATATCCATCATAGAGATGTAATTGTGGTGTCTTTATTTTTTGGGAGTCAGAGAATTCATTCATACTAATGTGTTAAGACCACCAGGAAACCTGGAAATCCAAGACGGCATCCAAAATGGCCACCAGCTGCCTATATGTGACCAAGAAGAGAGTTACTATATACAATAAAGCTATAATGTTTTAGAGATCGGGATTTTCACTGGATTGCTTTATACAGTATTATCATAATGGTTAAGAGTAGCCTTATACTCAAAACGATACCAAAGATATGGCCACCATTTTGTAATCCAAGATGAAATTAGCCATAAATAGTTATATACCCATCTTAGAGTCTATACTGGGGTTTCAGAGGTTGACAAATATTTACAGTAGATTTTAAAGTGTCTCCTTTTAGTGACATTTTTGCATTATCTTTTCATCCAGAATGCTAGGAATTACATCTTATTCATGACCAAAAAGACCAAAAACCTTGTCAATTTTTATTCTTATTCCATTTAATTGTAACCAATCATTATTGCCTCTAAATTAGCAATGCGGTATTAAATACAAAATCACTATTTTCGTATACTAATGGGCAAATTTTCATTTAAATTTTCTTTCAAATTGGTAAACTATGAATGAGTAGAAAATAAGATTAATTATTGCCAACTTGAGGAGGGAAAACTGAATAATTTAGAATATAAGAAAAGTCTGAACTGCTATAGGTTAAAATATTAATAAATTTGAAAGGTTTATACGAATGAAGCCTTTAAATTAGGCTGAGGCTGAGAACAAAATGCTGTCTCAAATTATTAGTATCATTTGTTTTATAAATCACTTTATGGTAGTGGTATTTTAAGTAATATTTCTATTTGTGAAGTTGTTTATAATACTAGTAATAATCATTGTATTACATGTGAGTTCTGGTCATCCGATTGCATTGTGAAAGAAAAGGTGTGGAATATGGATCAGAAAAAGTTGTTCATGTAGCATGTAAGTATTGGTGTGTACTGCAAAGTTCTGGAGTCGTCAAAAATCATGATAAACTTGGCCCAGTCTTGGTAAAGTATCAAGCACTGTACACAGAAAGATGTATATAGATAGGACTACACAAATGGTGTCGGGGCTACTAACCTTGATTTCCTAATCTTTCTATGCTCAGTACTCAGCCAGTATACATTTTCTACCAAAATTGTTTGGCAAATGACATTAATTTGTTATCTTGAACATTCAGTGTAAGTTTTGTTTGATTCTGTGAGAATTCATTTTCTTTTTCTTTTTACCAGAATTCACTTTTATCTTTAAACACACTTGTTAATATATATTTGTGCACTTATTTATAATAATCATTATATTACAATCACCTTGTATTAAATACACTTGTTAATATCTGTTTGTGCACATATTTATCATAATCAGTATATCACAATCATCTTGTATTAAACATACTTGTACTTAGAATAAAAACATCACCTTGAGTATGATCACCTTGATAAAATAAGCACCTTGATGATATATTTTATATACCTGTTTGTTGTTTGTCCAGAATGATGTGACAATGAGGCTCTAATAACTGCCCATCTTTGTTTATGTATAGATTTTTTTACATGAAAAATCAGTGGTATGCACACAGAACTTGAAATGTTTAGTATGTAATTGTATTCTTGCCAGGTCTACATAAACATGTTTATCTGTCTTTTATTTTTATTAATCTTTGTATATTTTATAACTTGAAGAAAGAAACCATTAGAGAGATCACTTTCTGTTATAGCCCATGTAAAAAAAAATTAGCCTCCAAAATCTGTTAATCTAATTCAATATTTGATTTGATGAATAGCAAGATCCACATATGTGTGCAAATTTAATCATCTAAAGTGGAATGAAAAGCAATTTTTATTTTGAACACATTCTCTGCAAGCTTTCATTTTCCTGTATGCATGGTTGTAACTCTTGTAGAAGCAAAATATGTCATATTGAAAGTAATTACATTTTTTGTGGCCGAATGATGAAGAGAATCACTCTGCATTTTTTTTTATAGTTTTCACCATGTCTTTGTGTTTCTATCATGTCGAGTAAAACTTAAAATATTCTAAGGAACAATTAACTTATTAACTTAAAGAGAAACTGTGAGGTCTTCAAGCTATTGGTAATTTTATTCTAAATTGAATTTGATTACTCTGTAATTTGTAAATGATATTCTATGCTTTCCATATTCATCTCACTACAGTATATAATACCTCTTTATCCCTCGCTGTGCTATGTTATGCTAGAATGTATAGTCAAGGAGTTAATCCTACCTCCTTGGTATATAGGTATATGTTTTGTAAAACTGCAGACGAAAAAAATCAAAATATCCACCCGTGTAGTGTGGGTTTTTTAAATGCCAGCAGAACTTCACAGATTTTAGCAGTGTAAATGCTGGCTCCTGAAACATTGGTGAATTATTCTGATTTGGGGTCTAGCGACTTGCTTCCTTGCGATCGCATGAAAAGCAGCGACAAGTCACGCATGTGCACTACTCACCCAAAAATCGGAATATAAGTAAACAACGTTTTTTTATGGGTTTTTCTAGTCCCAAATTATTTTAAAAAATAAAATGGTGTTTTGTTTGTGTAAATGGGCCTATATAGTTGCAGCAATATATAGTGGCCAATTTTAATGTTTCAATTAGGTGGTAGTGATGGCTTCAACTGTATTTATCTTCTGTGTATAGGCCTTTGAAACTAAAAGTTCTTCCTATTGAAGATAACATTCTGTATTTCTCATATCAATGCATCAAACGGAAGTAATTCAGATCAACCTTCATATGTACTAGCTTAAAAAGGATGTTTGCTTAAAATGCAGTTAAATGATATTCCAATCAACCAACAGCTTTCATTTACTGTGGATTCTATGTTTGCACCAAGATGAGTAGAAGTGAGATGAAGAAACAGGGTTTCATACATCTAACATATGATGATGAGATTTGAACCAGGATTGAAATCTCACTTGTTCTTGTGTGTGAATGTGTCTAATATGTGTCATAGTAGGAATTTTCATCCGATAGGTTTTGTCAGTCATTAGAGGGCCAGTAAGGTCCAAAGCAGGTGTCAAAACACCAGCATAGGATGTCCAACTTCCTGCACAAATTAATTGGGAAGTTTTGAAAGCAATAACCCAAAACTTGTTGCTTAGTCACCCACGACCTAGCTGTGCATTGCATGTGCTAACTATAAATCACTAATATGGACATTGAGAAGAGATATTTTAATAAAAGCATGTCATATAATAATTGTTCTGAGAATAGATGGTGCTATTGTATTAACTTGATATCTCTCTCTAATTTGTAACACCACTGTGACCAGAAATCAGTTCAAAGAACCGATTCTTAAAGGAAAATCCATTGTTGATAGCAAATTACTCTAGAGAAAAATCTGAGAATTAGACTGGTGAAAGTTTAAATGAAATTGTACAAAAAGAGAGAAAGTTATGAATTTTTGAAAGTTGTAATCATTTTAGGTATGGTCTCTTCAAATTGGCTGAATTGGTTTTGTTCCAACACACAATTACGACTCCAAACTTAAATTTCATGACTCTGGAGCATATTTTCTGTTTAGAGGACCTATATGAAAGTCGTTGGGGTTATTTGTAGATTGATAGGTTAGTTTATATTTCAAACTGACATTTAATTCTGTTGCATGTACAATTTGAGGTACATGTGTATGTATTTTATCCTATTAATATCAAATATACTTAATTTTACTCTATCAAGGAGTGCCTTATTTCTGTTCCTCTTATATTTCCACTTTCATACAAATGGAATTACCAGTATAACAATGGTTTGATTGCCCTTCAGTTGCATTTATTCAATTACAGCATCAGTTATGAATATTTTCTTACTCATTTGTCTCAAGTTAACCTAAATAGTTTATTGGTTAGGATAGCTGGCCAGAAGTAAGCATTCCCCTTACAACAAAAAATGTGCTAACAATCTTTGAAGCCATAGCCAGCTAGGCCATGGAATTGAATGCATGAAGCTTGAAGTTATGTTTTATCCAGTGTTGTCTGAAACTGCTTTTTGGTCATCTTTGTATTTAACCAAAAGCCTGCCGAATAAGAAATCTTGTATTTCTGTTCTTTTATTTGGAATATTGTATTCGTATTCAACGTTTTGTAAAATAAGTTTACATTTAGAGCCAATCTAAATACATGTATATGCTAATTGTGCATGGCTGTTAATAAAAGAGACAAACTGTATTTCATATTTTATTACTGAAGCGTGAAAGTATGGTACACAAAATTTGTCATTTATGCCCAACACACATTTTAAGCTAGTCAGAATTAGACCCTTGTGTATTATTGTTTGCCACATGCAATATTATTATTTCTTTAATTTTCTCTTTTTTAAAAGTTGTTCATATTTTGCTGCATGCTGTGAATGACATTGGTGTTATGTTTTCATGTACCCTTGTATGATGATTTATACATCTGTCACATGTTTATAATCACTGAGTTGTAATAATGTTTTCATATTATATCCTGCAAGTGTCATTGAAATATACTTTTTATATTCTGACCCAATACAAAAACTTTCTGTGCTTTTTTCTCCTTTTCTTTTTCTTGATATAAACTCGGTTTTAGATTCTGAGAAGAGAATGATGTGCTTTGTTGTTGTTGAAGTAGAGCAAAAGTTGAAAATTGACTTACATAGAACAAAAATGCTGATGCCAATACTATTTTATTGTAGCACTTCATTTGAGTAATGATATTTGGAGGAAGATTCCAGTTGATGTGTGTTAAGTTACTTTTTCAGATGAAAACCTATTCAAAAGGACTAACTTTCTAAGGAATAACTGCAGAAGTTTTGTCTGAATATGAATATTTGATAACATACATGTATATGGTATGAATAATATTGATGAACTTTTAAATTCAGGGGGGGGGGGGTGGGATGGACACTTATTTCTACAAGTTAGCAATCAATAGAGGCATACACGATTGATGAAGTATACTTAATTTAATATCCCATACATTACAGCATTGATGGAAGAAAAGAAATCAATAAAGCATTTCCATACTTGGTTCTTTCTAGAATAATTCATACTTTTTGTTATAAAGAGGACTAATGTATCATGCAACAACCTTCAACAGCACGCAAGCTACTCATATGCTACGTGCCATATTTGTTAAGAGGAAAACAGAGTAGGATAATCAAATATCACATTATGATAAAAGCAACTTAAAAAGCAGGGTGCAACAATTCAGGACAGGAAAAAGACTTTCAAACCAATTGAAAATGATGTTCTTATTTAGTGTAAATAAAAAATTAGGATATTTTCAAATATCTTGAATACCTTAATTTTTTGTTTTATTACTGTTGACATCTTTGTTTAAGACTGATTGCACATTGATCAACAATGAATGCATGTGTGTGTCCTGCAAACAAAGCCAGAACATAATGACTCTTTCCCGAGATGTGATAATGATTCAGGGGATAAATCAGCGAAAGAGGCCTGTAAATACACATCTTCTCTCCCGAGCATCCCCATACAGCCATTCCCTACAAATGAAGTACTTGTGTACAAGGGCTCAATAATATAGTCAAATTCCTAGCCACTGTATAAACATTCTCCTTTAGGCATAGTTATGAATGACCAATAATCAAATCAGTAACCTTCGCAGTTAAGACCGACATTTTCTAAGCAGTGAGAACATGATTCCCCGTATTCCCCTTTCTTTCTTTCTATACTGATTTTGTTGTTGCTGTTGTTGTTGTTGGGAGGCAGGATTGTCAAGAAGAGACCATACTACACAGGTCTATGAGCGATATAACCATGACCTTTGGCTTTTCTTGATTTGCAAGTGTTTTACATAAATGACCTGATGCGTAAAAGAAGAGAGGTTTTCATATTACGTGCATGCACTACAAAATAGCCCTGACAAATATTAGCCAATTTATCAGGGTATCAATTGGTTCAGTCTTTTGGTCTATCAAAAGAATTAGTCGCACCCTGTTGAGGTTCTCTGTAAGCAGCATGCACAGGTATATCAATGAGCATTTTCTAGGAAAAAACAGTGCATTATAAGGCAATTGCAACTAAAATGACACACATTAACTAATATATTTACTTTCATAGAAACATGGCTTAGTAAAAAAAAATTGTAAATCTGATATCAAATATTAATTTATCAATGTGTAGACTCTACAAGAATAAATACCATTAAAGTTAACATTGGCTGTTCATCACTGCATAAATGAACTGAGGGTACACAATATGGACAATGCCTCAGGTCTTTCTTAGAACACGATTAAAAGATTTTTTTTACCAATTCTGTCACTGCTTTTTCCATATTTCATCTACAATTCCAATATTTTTCATCATTGTATTTGTTCTCTTTGGCATTAGCATTTTGTTCATCCCGCCATTACAATGCAGTTCTATTGTACATGTAAATTCAAAATTTGATAAGATACATGTGTTTCAAAACTCTACAGAAAAATATGGGAATCATGCTTGGATATCAAACAGTGTCATGTCCTCATGAACATCTGCAGACAAAAAACACTGACATGTTATGGTCAGGTTAGCCTTCAGCTATATCAAGTAAATGTCATCTCATTATGCAGGCAAGTAATGTTATTCCGATCCTGTTGGGCTTAACTTCACAACAACATGCATGCATTGGCTAGACCCCAAAGTACAGAAAAAGAACGAGAACACAGTTTCTGACAAAATGAGATATTGGACAATAGATTTGAATATTAAGAAAACAGAAGTTCAGACAATTGCATAAGCGATATGTAAATCAGTCACCTATCCAACATATGACACTAATCTGTCAGAGCATTGATGAATCAAGTTTGTTTTATGGTTATAATGGAAAGCACTTTTTTTTTCCAGAACTTTTTTGAATTTGCCCATCATTTAATCTCTTGTCATATTATTTAATTATGTACCTTCCAAGGACAAAATATCTGTATGCAAACAAGATTAATGTATCAGCAGTGTATAATAACTTACTTCAAATGTTTGAGATATATATATATATATATTTATATAGTGCTTTGCAATCACATACTCAGTGTGCATGAAATAAAACCCAGGATTAATCCACCAGAATCAACATTTAAATATCTTTTTCTTTTACATTGAATGTTAACTGTCCGAGAGTACAAATAATAATGCTCATAAGCTTGACATTTGTGAAAAAGCAGCAAGAATTCATAACAGCTTAATTAAGAAGCAAAATATGAAGTGAAAGAGGGGAAAAAGATTTAGAAAGCATTTTTGGAAAAGTGTATAGAATAGAGACCTTTATTATTACTACATAAACCATAGAGTTGCATGAAAACAGGATTATTCATATTCTCACTCAGCTCTCATAAAACCTTGGACTTGCAAACATTGAAATAGTCAGCTTACTCAGCACCTTCCACTATTTTTCCTTTTAATAAATACATGTATCATTTTAGGGAACTTTTCTGAATATAATTTTGCAATAGACTGAAATGATGATGCAATCTAAAGGACTAGACCTGATTTATATAATGGCCAAGGCAGAAGATATATATTATAATGCAATGAGTCCACTGATTGTTCCTGTACTGAAACTGCAAAACAAAAAGGAATAGGTAATTGTATTGTTGTAATGGATACTACTAGACTATCAAACCAAGGCATAACATATACATTAATGAAAATAAAATTGTGGCAAAAAGATATCGTTATTGCCTCATGGAAATACCAAATAAAACAAGCCTTCATGTGCATTAAAATAAAATAAATATAAAAAGGAGCACATAAGGTTGAAAACGTTTAGATGCAGAGTTAATATAATTATCAGGGCACATATTATTGAATTTTCCTGCTGTATATATATCCTTTGCCTTGGCTTAAAGTTAATAGGGCCAAATCAGGAACTGGGATATTGTCACTAACGTACATTTCACAGCATATGACTTTCATTCTTCAGTTAAGAAAACAAAGTTATTCTATCAACAAATAATCTCTTTTAGACAGACCTACATATTGTACATCATCTTCAATAGTATACCATCAATAAGTTGACAATTTTAATTTCTCTTGAAACCATCTTTGCATTTTATATATAAAGCAGTTACGTGCATCTAATAAGTTCAGTACTTGAGTATTTTCTCCACGCCATTCAAATGAGCTACACAATAATTATCTGCTTTAACCATTTGCAAATTAAAAAACAAAATCACTGAAGAAAATTAAGGCAAAAACACTTCAAATTTCCTGATGATTATAAACCATTAATTATGAAATGCCAAAACTTTGTTTTAAATAAAGCTATTTTCTAAACTAGTTATTATCAAAACTAGATTCATTTGAATCACATCATACATGATCAGATTGGATACAAATTTGGATAAAATCAGCATAATACATTTCAACAACAAAAAAAGGAAATTTATGTATGAGCAGAGGAAAACATTTAGGGTTCAGGGCAGGCAGTACAACTAATATAATTGCTGACTGCTATATAAAATAAGTGATTTTTAGTGGAAATTCCAATAAGATATATGCACTACAGCTGTATGTGTGAAGAACATATAAAATGAAGATGAACAATTATTTTAAATTATTAAAAAAAACACTCCAATTTGAAAATTCTTACGATGTATGAACACTAGAAATGTAGAGAGGTTAGATAAAATGCACATGTATATGCCGTGGTATCTTGTCTATACTCTACGGTCTTTAATAGCAGCACCTGAAGTTAACCATGACACTTGAATAAAAAAAGTTACTGTCATAAAGATAAGAAATGTGTAAGTTAGTCCACATTTAAACCACAGTAACGGAAGTCACGCTAGATAATTTGGGGTATTATAATGGCTATTAAAGCAAGGAGAATTTTTCAGTGCCTTCAAAGTCCCAACAGATATGACCCGAAACTGTTGGTTATCAATACTTGCTCACACCTTACATTTCAATCTACATTTTGGTTATCAATACAGCAGTTTACACCTCTTCTTATGTCTTTCACGTTGGAAGATTTACTAGTAACTCTTGAAAGCATTTCCAATGTATATACCCCATGATGTTAACCTACAATGCAGTCCCTAAAAAAGGCGGGACCATCATTAAAAAAAAAAAGTACACACATACAAGTATAACAAATGATCAATGTTTGCGGTACTGGCAAATACCCTCCCACACAAACTACCATCAACATGTACACCATCAAATACATGAATAAAATATCTATGATAAAAACTACTCTTGACTGAGCGCTACAGCTTCTGAATTTTTTCTCCAACCACCACTGGATTGTTTTTCCTAATTTCCTCTTGGCCATGTGAGCGATAGTCAAATGAACACTCGTGTTTGTCTGAGTAGCGGTGTATACTGCAATAGAGACCTCCGCAACGACACTCAAAACCTGAAAGCACAAAACAAAAACATATACATTTGAAAGAATGCTTAAAATACATTGAACAATATTACCAGTTACCATTTTCATTCTTCATGTGTGCATAATTCTTTCTCGAACTGTTTTAAAAGACATGATGCAAAGTTCAATTAGACAATATTTTATTTTGCATTAAATGAAATTTGTTCATTTATTTCTTTGAGTTATAGAAATATTATATTATTGTTTACTGACAATAACTAAATATTCCATCAAGTCCTCTACAACCCCCTCCCCCTCAAAAAAAAAAAATCAAAAAAGGTTTATGGTTAATAAAATCAAATGAAAAAATGATAGAAAGCAGTTCAATTTCACCTGAAATAAGTATAAGTTACATTTCAAAGACATGAAATATCGACATGTACTTTTTACGTAGAATTTATAATCGGATCACATACTGTATAGGTTATAAATTATGTTTGTGTCAGCATAATGTATACATGTACCGGTATGTACATTATGTAGTTAGTTGCTACCCTACTTAAAATCATACATGTGTAAGTACATGTATGACAAAGAGACAAAAGGATCAATAGATAATGAGGGTAAAAGGAGTAGCGAATAGTCATAAAGATCAACCATAATAGAATTTATTATCCATCTGAAAAAAGGGGGTAGAATTAAAAAGTTGGTACTTTGGCTGGTACATATACACAAAGCTTACAAGTACATGCCTATAATGGCAGTACATTGTAGGCCAATCCCAAATGAGACAAAGGGATTCCCTGGCAGTTTGTTGATGTGAACTCTATTAGGAGTTCACTGAATACAATAGCTTCTTGTTTGACAAAGAGTGTCTAATCTAAATCTACATAGAACGAATGAACTCAAACAAATGACTGGATAGATGACTTCTAGAGAATAATTACATGTACATAAATAATTGTGACCTTTATACTGGTACATAAATTAGTCTTTAAAATTAACACATGATTAATCATATCATCCACTGTGCCCTTCAACTGTCTATTTCTAATCATATAATGTACATGTACATGTACTCTACATGTATGAGCTAAAAAAATTCCCCAAATAAATCATTCTATTAATGCTACACTTACTGAACAGTGTAGAACCAATAACTATTAGCTACATTACATATGAGGGGAAAAAGATCAGAAGAAATGTCCTGTGCTTGAACAACAACAAATGTGTGCTTCATACAATGATCCAGTATGACTATGTGGTAGGGTCCATGATCAGATAATATACATGTAATCTTATTCTTTGATAAGGATGAGTCATGAATTCAACTGAAAGTAAACACTTAACCCCAATGGTTGTACTATATGTCATGGAGAAAATAATGTGTAAATTCACATGACCCCCTCCCCCCTTCCCATAAATTATAAATTGTACATGTTCACATGATCCCCCTCCCATACAATAATGTATTGTACATACTGATTGATCCATGCAGAACTGTTTGCTATGATACATAACCACATGTGTATATCAATGAAGGTCTATAAAGCACATAAACAGGCTCAAGTTTACAGTCTCCTATCTGTTATGTACATAGTTGTGTGAAACTGAGACTATATAAATTTCATTACAAGAAAATAATGCAATACACCAGTCACTACTACGAAATGTCTTCAACATAATAATCTCTCACAACAACATGAGCCACGATACTGAATTCTTTCCCTTATTTCTTATTTTTTTGAGGAACTTTACACATTAATTAAACATACAGTACATATAGGAATATTGATCTCTGATCTGACCTTGATACACAAAGGGGAAAATACAACAATAAAATATCTGATTGGATACCTGTAGTGGCTAAAAGAGCCATACATGTAGGCCTAGATGTTGAAAGTGTCCTCTTTTGTTGAATATTTACTTACACCGTTACTCAGATACAAGTACATGTACATGTAATTGTACGTGTATGTGTATGGGCAGTCATTTTTTGGGTGGAGGGATGAAAATTGGGGCCAAGTAGATCTTTCTTTTGAAGGGTTTCTAGTACATGTACATTATAAACACTGTACAATTCATACAATTAACAAGGTTACAATGTTGCCAGGTGTAAAAATGTATTTATAAGGTTTCTTTTATTCTAACACTGCTATACATGTACATGTATGTGTCTACTAGTAGTGTCTACATGTACGAAATACAAAAACATGAGCTTTTTTTTGTTTGGTTTTTTCTAGCAGGATTACACTTGGTAGACCCAGAAGGTCAAATATGTCCTTTTGTTTTCCTTTACAGTTGCAAGGAGGGAGGGGTAATCTTTATGACTCTTCTGCATGTCATGGTCATTGTATCTTCTTAAAGTGACTTAGTAACATAAAGGTTGATGAAAAAAATGTGTAATTTTTGAAAGAAATTTGACTCATTATATTCCTTAGAGGGAAAGGGTCATCAGTTTCCATGTGTATAAGGTCATTATTCGCTGACACCAGACTTGGTGGAAACGCTATTAATGGGTATACAGCAAACCTCTAATCCATCAAGTCTAGTCTCTTGGAAACTCTTTGGCCCGAATTCACAAAGGAGGTTTGGCGACAAACCTCCTTTTGTTTCGACAAACTTCCCTTTGTGTTTTACAAACCAGGTATGTAAAAAACGCATCAAAACATGTCATATGACGTACATAAACCTTGGTTTGTCGACAAACCTCCTTTGCGAATTCGGGCCTCTGGGTGAGAGAAAAGTAAGATACTGACATATGGGGGAATGGGTGGAAAAATGCAGAGCATTACATGAGGCCTGTTTGACATAAAAACTAAAGGCTAATCATCATGATTGACAATACCTGTTATTGGGTGTTGTCAAAACATGAATGGCGTCAAATTCCCATGAGAGCCCACTACTAATACTATGTGTCTGTAATATTAGTATGGATTTCCATCAAAAAAGAATTGCTGTTCGTCTATCTTACCTGTAAGACCAACCTTCTTACGGCATGAGTGACATCTATTCCTCTTTTTCTTGCCCTTCTCACTTCCATCACTTGAATCTTGTGAATCTGATACTGACGGTGAGGCACCTCCCTGGGGTTGTGAGTCGGACTTTGCTGGTGAGCTGCACTCCTCTTCTTCTGGTGCTTCTACCCGTTCGTTTGCAGGGGCAATGGAAGTGACCGTTGGGGCGGCGGTGGCAGTTGTCGCAGAGGTGAGAGAGGCTTCTGGTGCTATGGTGCTTGGTGTTTGTGTTGATGAGTTTGCACTTGTTGTGTTACTAGACACTGGGAATAAGGCAAAGAAAAGATACAGTTGAACCAGCAGTAGAAATCTGAGTTATTTATATCAAATAGGCTGTGATTTTTCGCAGGGTTTTTATTTTTGCTAATCTAGCAAATCATTCATTGACTGCAAATTTAACAACATGCAAACATATTTCCACCAAGTAAGTCGCATTTTGAAATCACTAAAGAAGGCCCAGTGACATGTTGCCCACAGCATCTGTACATTACAGCATGAGCTGTTAACGGGTCGTGCAGTGCAGGTAGAGACCACACTAATCATAATTTTTCGAACTAATTTTCATATTTTGATGATTGTGATACTCAGTAATGAGTTCAGGGAATAGAATAGTAATTGAAAAGTAACTTTGTTTGCGAATTCGTGTTTGAACCCTTGATCCGTGAAAAATATCTTTACTCCTGTCAGAGTAACCACATACTAGTACTATTGAAAGCTACATGTTTGTATACAGCAAGGGGCTTTAATTAGTTACAAGGGTAACTAAACCCTGATGCTTACCTGTATTTAATGAAAAGATAAATGTACATGCATGACAACTCAAAAATAAAGGCACATGTATACACAAACTGCAAATTTATGTCACCAAGGATTGGAGGAATTTTTTTTTGTGTGAATTCATCCAACCCTAAAAACAGAGACACTTTTCTTTTATCCAAGACCGTAACTTATTTTTCATATTGCCAATTCCCAGGCTAAAAGTAAGCTCAAATTATACTGAACTACTAGTATTCATTCACATAACTTGTTACTGCCTTGAAAGACTAATTCAACAAAAGAGAAGGAACCACCCTAAAAAAAAAATAAAAAAAACAACAACACTGGACTGCCTCAGTCAACAGTATACAAATAATACACAGCAGTGAGGACATTAGTAAGAATTACCCACACAAGGTACCTTTGGAAGGTAATGAGATTGGGTAATGTTACTACTGCCCAAACAAAATTATGTGTATTATTTGTTTTATAAGATGATGTTTTATTGTTTTATAAAATTAAGTTTTATAACATGATTTTACTAATGACCGGTCATAAGTATTTACTATTTTGTGTCAGGCAAATAAGGATCTGCTTCATCATCTTATAATACTTTATAATTTAAAAATGTAGCCGTCTCGTGTTTCAATCTGTAGTGACTTTAATGGTACATGCGAAAATTGACAGACTATCTCTAACAATGTTTTTACTGAATCTTTATCAAAATCATCAAAAGATGAAGCCTATGATATTTACCTAGAGGTTGCACAGGTGAGTTTTGTTTTTTCCTCATATAATCCTTATGACATTTAGAGCACATGCCCTCTGTAGCGGCGCTTCCGTAGAAGCCACATCCGCTCCTGCAGAGATTCGCCTGCATCTCTTTACTGCCATTGCTACTATCCATCATAACCGTATCTGCATGGAAAAAAAAATCAGAAATCAGAAATAAAAATATAAATGAAAAGGGGTCATAACATGATCGGCTGTCATGGTTCCACACTGCGGTTTGGGTTTTCGGATACCAATTATTGACTGTCATTTTGGGACCTATCAGTTAACCAATCATTATCTTTAATCTATCAGACACCCAGAATATACATGTACATGTATGAGGGCCCAAAATTGAGGGATGGACCCCCCCCCCCTCCTAATTTTGTTTATGGTACATACATCTCTTTATATTTGAATCTCACGATAACTTAACAAAACTCGTTTATAAGTTTCATAAAATTGGACATGCACTTTTGAAATGAGAATATTAAATGTGTTGACAAAACCACCTTTGGAAAAAGTGCAACAAGACTTACTCCAGCTACTTTTTACACAAGTCAGACCAAAACTGTAATTAAACTAAACGTAGGAGATAATTCATGCTCAAGAGACAGAGAAAATCTGAAAAGAGGCCCATGGGCTAGTGCCATAATATGACTTGCATACATGTACCTTGTGGAAAGCTCCTCTTATGTATTAATTTTTGCTCAATAATTTCATTTATTGAAAAGACACCAAATCATAAAAAATTATCAGTAATAATATTGAAAAAGGTAAAATGACTGGGTGAAGGTTTTTAAGTAACACATTGGAAACATTTGAAATAGGATTGTGTGACTGTAATTCAAATCATCAAAATTGGCTACAAATGTGAAACATGATATGGGAGCTTACACACAGCAAATTTAGTTAATGGAAATATCCATCAGTTTGTACGTGTACCACCTATTTGGAGGAAAAATTCAATAAAGACCTATCCTTTATGTACATGTACAAGTCAGGTTACTACTACTACTTTGATACATGTTTACCATTTCAACCCCCCCCCCCCCCATAAATAACTTCCTATTTGTACAACTTACCTGTCTAGTTAAAAATCCCTGGGTGAAAAACACAACTGACCCCCTCTTGGGTTGATATATATGATGCACTTTGGTTTTCAAGTTGTGTGCTCTACTTGTGGTTAGCAATGAGCTGTATACTGGGCTGTATTACGTGTATGGTCCACTCAAAGTCAAAGGTACAACATTTCTTGCTGAAGACGGTGATACATGTACATGTATATTTGTCGCGTAGTTGTGGAACTTATTTTGTTGAAACCTGGAGAAATAAATCAAATTGATCAAAGGTCATTCATACACTCGTCAGGAAATTGAGCAAATATGATATCATATAATACAGCCTACAGAAAAGCTTGTGTACAAATGTAAATCTCAAATGATACTACATGTACTGTACAAACATGTACTGTACTGTATGTACATGTACATGTACATTACTACATGTGTACACACATTTGCATGTTAGCTTCATGTACTGTAGACATACACATGGAATTGTTCTTGCAACATTCAACAGTTAGTATAAGAACATGTAATTATGTACATTCTAGGTTGACTTTAAAGTAAATTACAGACACCAACATATATTATAATACACATACATTAACATTTAAATTTAGTATCATTTGGGGGGGGGGGGGGTTGAGGGGGAGGAGCAATGAAATGAGAAGAAAAAAAATTCCCCCCGATTTCTAGTTCCCAATATTAAATGGGCATGTGCTTCATGTCCCTATTAGTATTACTTTATCAAGATTTCAAACAAGCTAGACCTATATTAAGTTCAGTCACAAAAATGTAGTGTTGTTCTGCATGCTTTTTGTAAGATTGAACATCAAATGCAACAGTTTACATATAATAAACCCTCTCCCCATCCTACAAAGGATACACAAATGTTAACTACCGGTACACTAAATGAAGAAGTACATGTACATGTACCTGTATGCTTTCATATTCAAATAGATCCTTGAATTTTGTCACAATTTTCTTTATTTGAGTGTTTATACATGTACCACTTAGAACCTCACATGTACATGTACAGTATGTATCAATAAATGCAACATTATCATTATTTCTGACATTGCACATGTACTCATCATGGTTTTCTACTTCACTTCCTACACCTAGCGTAAAATGTACATCTACATTCTTCAGCTAGTACCTTATGATATCCATCTACCTCCATTTTTCTCAATTTTGAGTATTACAATTTTACACCAAATGTGATGGAAGAGAATGATATGTGGACTCAATTTGCCGGTATGATGCCTATTAAACAAATTCTTTGGAAATGTATACAACTGTGATCACTTAGACTTAGTGCAGTTCATTACTGGACTCTGTATAGAGCTGCCTAGATAGTTGTCATTATTCAGAAGATTTTTGTTAAAAATCAATGCATTTTAATGAGTTAACCTTTGTCCTTGTGCGTCAGCAAGCATTTCTGCTTCTGAGAAATTTAATTGCAAATTAATTTATTGCAGTTGCTTACCCACAACATTTCCATTTTTTACCGAAATGTGTTTTCGATTTTACTTGCACCCTACTAGTATTAATTTGTTAATACCACATGAACATCCAAATGTGATTATACAAATGGATCAAGTTACAATTTTAAAAAATCAGCAATATCGCTATCTCTAAATTTAGATGTCGGATCAGAATGGGGTACAAGCCCAAGTGAAGAAAAGGTCATCTTCCTTGTCTAATACTATTCTCTCAAAATGAAGATTTCCAGACCCTTGTTAATTTAATTCACTATTTTCATAATTTAAAACCCAATTCCAAAGAATTTTTTAAAAGTTCCTCTAGATCTAACTCCAGGTCCAAGAAGCTCCGACACCGACGCCTAAGCCGTCGGAGCTTCAGCGGGTGCATCAGAAAACATTCAAACAGCGAATTGGGCGACATTATCTCAAAATATGCAAAGGGAGTAATTACAACTTTGACTAGGTTGCTCAACTCCTCTTGGGCATCTGGCTGGCCACTTGATATTATAATTTGAAGAAGTCTTCGATGGGAAAAAGGGGGTGATTCTTCCATGTTGTATCATCGATTCAACCGGTGAAGAGAAAGTATGCACTATCGCGCATGCATAGTTTCTCTTCGCCATGTTGAGTTGATGATGCAACATGGAAGAATCGTTGGGGTAGGACGAAAAATCACCCCCTTTTCCCCCATCAAAGACTTCTACAATGCAAATTGTAATTTCAAGTGGCCAGCCAGATGCCCAAAGGAGACGAGCAACCTAGTCAAAGTTGTAATTACTCCCTTTGCATATTTCGAGATAATGTCGCCCAACCCACTGTTTGAATATTTTCTGATGCACCCGCTGAAACTCCGACGCCTTCGGCATCGGCGTCGGAGCTTCCTTGAGTTATTCTAGATCTAGATCTAGATCTAGATCTAGTCTTTCCATTGTTGATATATCGGATTGTTTAAAACTTACCAAGTTTTGAGATATAAAATTGTCTGCAAATTAAGGTCATGCATGAAACTATGGTCACACCACCCAACCTGTCTACATAAAATTATAGGTTAACACCTAGGCCTACACCTACATGACAGTGAATTTAATTGACTAAGTCAAAGAGTTGGGTCTCCAGTTTAGTCTTTGATCAGTAACTTTACAATTACAGTCTACAGACAGCACAATAATTGATTTACAAATGAGTAATGTTAAAGTAGTTATGTTACAAAAATCCTAATCATCTTTTACAATATACACGAAAGCAAATCTAAACTAGATCTACCATAAGCGTTTGTTGCAGATCTCTGCACTATTGCTACCAATCTCAACAAGCGACTCCTCCGCTCCGGCATTTAATGATTTTGCATACAATAATAATATTGTGAAACATGGCGTCTAAATGCCGTGTCATAACCACACCAAACACAACAAAACATAAGATTCCTACTCAATTTGTAACACATAATACAATCAGCACCGAGTAAATTGTAAACTAATATATACAGAATGAATAAGTTCAGAGGGAAAAAAAATATTTACCAATTATAGCGAAAAAATGGTTGATCTTCCTTGGGTTTTGATTCGGTTCCTTCCTCCCTCTGCACAGTGTATAAGTCTATGTGTTGTGTTGACTGTGTATTTACTATTATGATAATTACAAGACACGTAATACCATATGACTGCCTTTCTGCGCTCTCATTGGTTACCATGCTATGATGCAGCAAATCTTTGTGACGTCATATCATTTTTCAATCAGCAGGGTCGGCAGTGTGATGATTCAATGCTTGCTCATTGTTAATCATTCATGTTTATATTTTCTCTTCTCCTTTCTTTCTACATTTTTCAAGGAATTTCGTGACCTTTTTATTTCATGCTTGACCCGTACAAGAGCTCTGCTTCCGATTTATGTCATCTTGAAGGGAAATGCACATGACGGTAAAGTATACAGGCGTAGGTATACGGAGTGCACGGCGGGCACGTGCCCCCCCCCCCCCCGCCCCACTCCGCCCCAAAAATATATATGGGCAAATCGTGAGTTTCTTTATCTAGTTATAAGAAGTGCATTACCCGATTATCGAAAAATGCTTTGATAATCCGATCTTCGTCCTGGATGTACCGTACGGCAGATAAAAGGAAATACAGATATAGGAGTGAAAAATAGAAGACATTAGTACGGGAAAATTAGAGACACAAATAGAGAACGAATGTGTGTACTTTAAACTTTAAAATGCATTTTCTTTTCCGCTCTGGTAGATCTACTCCCTTAAATTGTGATCATGTAGTACATCGTTTTTCAACAGGGTTGCCGCGAGAGCTTTTTTAAAACAGTTTCATTGAAAATATATGTATACAACTTCATGAAAACAAAGTATCAGAAACTACAAATATGTAAATAAAATGATAATTTCTGAAAAGTATATTGGCCTATATGCTTATTATGAAGGAAATACTGATTGTAAACATTCAACATTAATCTTGTACAGTGGCATAATTGTCTAAAGAACAAACTATAATTCATAAAGGCTTTAGAAACTGACATATATGAGGAACATTTTTTTCCCGTCACACACTTATACACAATCGCGCCATTCTCTCCCCCCCCCCCCCATTCCCCCTCTCTCTCTCTCTCATGTCTCTGTCTCTCTGTCTCTCTCTCTCTGTCTCTCTTCTCTTCTCTTTTCCCCTATATATACTAAAGTTGCACAATTCCAGGTTTAGGTCCCAAACTGAAAAATCTAATTTCTCCATTAATTCTTGAGCTATAATAATGTTGTCATTTCGCGCCCAGTATACAGGAAAAGTTTTTCATTTAATCGGATGCTGACAATTTTATTTTCAATGAATATGTGAAACGTACAGGACGCCAGTCATGACGCAAAAAAAAGTGCATGTGTCATTACAAGTTAAAGTTTAGACTAATTATTGTGCACCTTCAATCTGGAAATGTTATATCTTATTATGATTAAAAAAACTCCTTAATCAAGGTTCATCTAAACAAAAAATGTGCTAAGTTTTGATATCGATGTAGGCATTGAATTGATAAAGTGGTAACTGGTAAGTCTATTTATTAATTTTCTTTTAGAATTCATTGATTTATTTATTCATATATCTATCTCTATTTATTTGTTTATGTACATACATACTTACTTATTTCATCATTTAGGCAAGACATTGAAGGTATACGACACAAAGGTGAGATTTCATCATGTAGTTGAACGATGAAAAGCTGGCAGTAATAAATTCAAAGGCATTGAATTGATAAAGTGGTAACTGGTAAGTCTATTTATTACTTTTCTTTTAGAATTCATTGATTTATTTATTCATCTATCTATCTCTATTTATTTGTTTATGTACATACGTACTTACTTATTTCATCATTTAGGCAAGACATTGAAGGTATACTACACAAAGGTGAGATTTCATCATGTAATTGAACGATGTAAAGCTGGCAGTTATAAATTCAAAGAGCAGGAAGTGTTATAACAGGGCAGTGCATGGAACTCAGCTGATTAGTTAAAATCGGCTCCACCGGTCGCTTTATTGAACCCTTTTATCTTCGTGTAAGTATTGCTCTGATCTCTCTCTCTCTCTCTCTCTCTCTCTCTCTCTCTCTCTCTCTCTCTCTCTCTCTCTCTCTCTCCCTCCCTCCCTCTCTCTCTTCTCTCTATATGTATATAGGCAGAACCGCAGAAGTATAAATGGTAATAACAAATTACCGTGGGTTAATATTTCCACTATCTCTTTCGATCGTGTAAGCTATTACAGAGAACTCTAAATTCAAAGAGGTGGTCGGAAGAAGAAAAAGATAACTACAAAGGATTATCATTGATTTTCTTGTTTACCAAAGCCGTATTCATTGTGGTATTGTTGTTGTTGGTTGTATTTGGGGCGTTCAGTCAATTTTTACTGGTTCTTGATTAGTCGGTAGGTGGGTGCTAGTGAGCACTAATTAAAAAAATTTGCTCCCGAAAATTTGAAAAATCGCGCCGACCGAAAATTCGCTCAGTGGCGGGGGGGGGGGGGGGGGGGGGTGTAGTGAGCACTAATTTTTTTTTCCCGAAAATTTGAAAAATCGCACCCCCCCTCCCTTGAGCGCTAGGGGGGGGGGGGGGTCTATAAAAAAAAAGAGTAAAATTAACTGAAGTAGGCCTACACTACTAATTAAAACAGGTTGTATATAGGGAGGAGAGGGGCGTCACATAGTTGTGGATGTCCCTTGACTTCACACAAACCTATGTTACGCCAAATTTTGTGGCGTGTCCTATAAGCTTAATTCTCTGATGAAAATACAGCTATATACATCAATGGAAAGCTGATTGGACGTAGAATACTAAAAGATACACTTAAAACTTATTTTTCATTTGGTTATTGAACAATATAAGCAGATAAAGATTTAATTTTTAGCCCCCTCTGAAGTTAAGGTAAACACCCGGGGGGGGGGGGGGGGGGGTACTCACATATTATACGGGGGTGTGCCGCTATAATGGGTAACTTTTTTATACAAAATCCCTAAACATGGGTCCGTTTTTTCAAAATTTAAATTTTTTCAAAACTCCCGAAAATTGTAAAAAAAATGGGTCTTTTTCGAGAAAAATTACCCCTAATAATGGGTAGGGGTTTCGAAGGCTTGAGCGGCACACACCCGTCAAAACCAAATCTGAGTATAAACATGCAGATGACAAATAAGCCGCTCTCGTGATTATTCACGTGTGGTATGTACGGAGCTGCCGATTGATCCACCATCAGCTGATTTGAGAGATGGCGCTATTTTGAATCTCGATTCAGTCTTTGTATTTCTGTTATCTCGATCACTGAACATTTACTACGCAGATCTCGATCCACTTTGAAACTTTAAAAAGTTACACTTTCTTCCTCTAAATCCTCCTTCCTGTTGTTTTTTTAAATTTTATTTAAGTAATCTCAACATACAAGTGTTTATGCTTTCTTAGCAGTCAGGTAATTAAAAAAAAAAATATATAACCATCACATATAAGCAAAAGCAAGAGAGAGAAAAAAAAAGAATTGCTCGAGATGATAACAAATCAAACGGACACATGCACGAGTGTGAACATGCATTATGTACAAATATGTAGTATCCTACTATTATTTCAGCGCATGTGATTTGTTGATATTATAATATATATATATATAGAGAGAGAGAGAGAGAGAGAGAGAGAGAGAGAGAGAGTGGGGGAAATAGAGAGAGAGAGAGAGAGAGAGAGACGGAAAGAAAAGAGAGGGAGGAAAAGCAAAAGAAGAAAGGTATTAAGAAATGATTATAAACAGAAAAAACCTTGAGAGGACCAACAATAAAAATAAAACGAGACAGATCTGATCTACAAATTTAAGAAATTGAACGAATTTTCCAGGGTGTGATTGTCAAGGGGATACTTGTCCTGATACGGGTTACGTTAAGGGTTACGTTGTGTCCAGAGTGAAGTTAGGAATTCAGTTAGGGTACAAACTAATAGCAGAGCAATTGTAGGTGAAAGTGTTATAAAACCAAGATTTTAAAGTTTCTTGAGCTGAACACAGCTCTCTGCTTTTATGTCTCTCACTCCTTCCTCAATAAAACTTCACACCCTTTTAGCACATATCACATACAAGCACAATGAAATCAATTATTTTATATTTTAATCAGTAATCAGCACTCAAAATCCATGTTATGAATCAGTTTCAGCCTTTTCTTTTCTACCTTTAGATGATCATTGATTTACATTCAAAATATTTTACATCTCTTTACAACTACAATACCTTACTCATGATTGTCAATCTAGTTTGTAAAAATAAATAATAAAAAGCAAAAAAAAATTATTGTGAAGAAATTATACTGACTAATGATTAAATCCAACAGTTTTGCACATAGGTCTTCCTTTAAAAGTGCTTTTGACATGAATAAGGGCGAGTATTCATGTAGTGCTTCCTGATAAAATATATTTAAAAATTCATAGTTCTTAAGAATAAATCGCTTCTCTTTTAAACGTTGATGACACATTTTTTACGTGTGTGGCTCACATACTGAATAGATAAAACCTGGTTCTGAACCGGCATAATATATTTGGATATAAGGATAACTTGAAAAACAGCTGTTCAAATTATTGACAGTGACATCAAAATAATATAAATCTTAAAGTTTCACATTACCAATATATAATATTTCACTCAAATGATATTTCAATTATCATAGAAGGCATTCAAGACATCTTCATATTTCATATTATATCTAGTTCATGTCTGACACAAAACTAGAGCAATACATTTACTTTTGATTGTTTTTAAAATCATTTTCAGCTCCATTTGCTTTCTCTTTACCTTACTCTCTCTATATAGTGCCATGCAGATTTCAAAACAAATTTCAAACAATTAACCAATGTTGAATCCAAACTAAAAAAAGCACATGCTTTGGATGGATTAAAAAAAACTATATCATGTTAGGAGTCAAAGAAAGCACACATGTAGGACATAGTAAATAAAGTAAGGAGGGGGAGGGGGTTGTGTAGAAACCAATCACATCTGATATAGAACAAATAGTTGAACCAGTTCAGCACCCTACACCCAAAGTGAACACACGGATGTAACAACCAAGAATATTTCATCTCAGTTTCTTTTTCCATGTAACTAACACATCATCCTTTATCCTTCTTAAACACTGCATTGGCATGCGAAATATTCACCTGCAGCATGTCTGTAAATTGAATCATACACAATAAATGAAGATGTACTTTCCAGTCATTGAATACTTGTGCATATTGAAGCATACACCCTGGATAAAAGGCTTTGTATGAAGAAGAAAAAAAAATCAACCTTTATAACCTTTGAAACTTATATTCAGTCCTATTCCTACCTGCCTAGTGCCTACACAATGTATTACAACTCAAATCACACATGTAATTATTGGTTATCTAAAACTAATTCTATGACCAATGAACTTCTTGCAGAGAAGTGGTGAATTTTTTCAATGACATAATTGACTACGTCGGTATACTGACTGCTGGGCCGAGGGTTCAATGGATGTTCAGCTGATGGATGTAGACCTGATGAACTAGATTAGATTAGAGCTGGTGTTATGGTACCAACACTCTCACCAAATCCAACTCGGTATCCCTCACCTTGGCAGTGGCCTAGAATAGAGAGGAAATGAGAACAGTCTTTGAATAGCTTGTATGTGCATCTTATCAGAGTAATGTTCTACAATATTTGAATTTAAAGTTAAATTTCTATTCCAATGTAAGCATAGCATTACAGAAATTACATTTACCATCAACATTCCCAATTGCCCTTTCACTTTTTAATACATTTCAAGAAAATGGTACTGTGCAAACAGTGATTATCCTCAGCTAAAGGTGACAATGCAAGGCTGAGATAAGCGTATACGCATCTCTGTCATAGACAAAATTAAAGGCGAGATGAAATGCAATTTCAAATGGCACAGACATTGATGCGCACATTGAGACATGCATTACACTGTCTGGCTGCACTTATGTACTGAGATGTCATTCAAAGCAAATGGTGGGCCCCATGACTGCGCAATTCTAGGAATATTTATCATGTTTTTTCTACATTTCTCAACCTTATGCTCATATTGGAGACCTGTTTATAAAACAAATAATTCATGTTTTGAAGCTTGTGCATCAGTATATATATGCACTGCACTAAGTGAAGTCACAATGAGCCGGATAATGAAGTCAACAAATCTTGTTTTGATTGTGACTTAACCTGCATGCAGTGCATATTCACTAACGTGTATTGCTTACTGACCCAAAACATAAAATCTCATCAAAATACCAATGGTGATCCCTAGATCTGGTAATGATGGAAATGTAAGTTGACAGGATCATTTAAAATTTACACTGCATGCTCAAAACCATAGTAACAACCAATACATATGATCAAACACAATTATACTGAAATCTACCTACAACAAATTCATCTGTAGGTTAATCATATCTCAACTTTTGTAATTTATATTTTTCTCTTTTTTCCTCAGTTCCATTCCATCTGTTAATACTGTTTTGTAACTTTCCAAATGAACGTGTGGACCCCTTTCAAAACAACTTGTATTGACAAGCCAATATACCTTATACGGAATGAATATTTAAAATAAATAAATTGACCACTGATTTTTATTGAAGTTGTATAATAGCTGAGTAATTATGGAAAAAGATAAGAAGTCTGAGCAAGGGCACAAATAGATGATGTGAATCATGTTTTCAAGTGAATGTCATTTCCTTTCCCAACTTGTTTTTTGTTATGTTCTGCTTGGACAAATAATCCATTAATTAGGTGATGAACAATTACAAATTAATTTTGATTTCTGTAGCAGTGCGATTTTACTAGATAATTCAAGATAAGCTTTAGAACCACTCTGCATAGAGTTTATGGCAATTGTTATAAGTGGATTTAACATTTACCTGAAAGAATAACTGTATCCCCATCTTTGAGAAACTTCCTTATGTTGCCGTTACCAAGATCGACTTCCTTGGTTCCCTTCCAGCACAACTCCAGCATACATCCATAGTTTTCCTGAGTCTGCAATATTCGGAAATTAACACACAGACACATGACATACTTACAATACCCCCTTTAACATGATCCAATAATATTTTCTAGGGGCAATACAAGAACAAGAATACAAGACCGATTGCAGCTGGTAGAGATTTGTGCTGAAAATGTTTTCAAACTGGAGTTTCATGTGTAAGAAGTTTAACAGCATCTAACGATCTTGTATTCACATCTTGGAATGTGATGAGGTTGAAACAAAAGCAATAGTTGATGACTGTATGCCTACTAATTTCTCTGAGGGCATTTTGGAAATCCTCAACGAGAAAAGGTAGGTAAATATTTGTCTTTCAAAACGTGATCAGATACAGCAATTTTGAAAATCCTTAATTACCCGGTTCTCTGATTTTGATCTATCATTGTGAATTATCACATGGAAGAAGTCAACAGTGATATACAAACTGAAAGGCTATTGCATAGAGAAGAAACTATGAACACTGGTAAAAAGAGGAAGATGTAAGATGATCATACCGGTCCGCTAAGTGTTCCTGTTCCCATAAGATCTCCTGGTTGAGCATTGCATCCTGTCACTGTATGGTGAGCTAGCTGCTGCTTCATCGACCAATACATATGCTGAGATACAAACACATAAGAATGATCCACTGCAGATAAAACCCATTACAACCTTCTACAAAATCGTTCGAGTAAACCATTTTCACTCTGTGTTTTTTTAGCAAGTTTATATTAATTCTCAATCATGATAATAATACGTATCATTTCAAATCTCATCTCAAGAAATGTTGAAAATCAAAGTTAACGTATCTATCAAATTAAAAAAAACATCTATTATGAGGAAACATAGAAGTGTTTCAAAGTATTGTGATCATTTGTATTGATATAATTCATGCCAGAAAGCTGAAAATGAGAACAGCTGACCTTACACAGAGAACTTACTTCAAAAGTATATTTCATGCAAAATAATAATTTGGCTAACATCCATGAATTCTCACTACGCATATAGCTGAAAACTAGCGAACGTAAGTGGCGTTCTATTGTTACTAGAGAATTTTTCAGGATTTTTCAGTCACATGAACTTCCGGTCAGAACGTGCCACACAGTATTGGACTCACACTTCACTGTCAATAGGACTAAGAATGAGAAAATGTTGTTTTACCCAAATCTCTATTGATGTTAATTTATTAATGATATAGACCTTTGTTATCTTCAAATATGGGACCCTGTTGTATATTACAGGAAATGATTAAAATTACTGACAATAGTGGGCAATCATGGCTAGGAAAAAGAAGTCACTTGTGTGGCAATATGCCACATTTCAGAGAGAATCCTCCAAGCGCTGGCGTTTGCCAATGCTGGTATATTAATTAAAATAAATAGATAGGCTTACTGCTTGTGTAATTTTTTTTAATTTGCCACTATTGAGCAAGATTTAGAATTGCAGATAATTAATTATTAGCATATCGTAGTATAGCACAATTCATGTATTAAAATCATCAGAAGTTAGTAAGTCTACGGGTTTACTGAAGTATTGGAGACGCAATGCATTATGGGAATGTATATTAGAGAGAATTGAAAGTTCTCTTTTTTCTCTATGATGTAGAGAAAGTTGATTTAAAAAAGTTGGCAAAACATGAATAGGCACTAAGCCTAATTCTGTATGGAAAAATTCATCTGATATCATTGGCTGCATGAAGGACAGTGTGCAAAACTTATTAAACTTGTTTCCTGTGATAAACATGTCATTGCAAGGCAGTAGCAAACGTTCATTGCACATCAGAGAGGATTTTGAGATCAGTGATGGGAGCATTGAAGCTATATTTCATGGGTGTGCAGTGATTGGCAGTAACACAGTACATCTCCTATACTAACCTTGAAGTTTGACCGAGAGACAACTGCAGGCTCTTGCATCTCAGCACCTAATTCAGAATAATGCAGAACAGTATTACTGGTTTATTCAATGACAGGATCTATCATTCATTGTGATCCTTTTAGTCAAAAATTGATTAGGGTAGGGTATATGCATTGAAGAATACACATAGATGCTGTATTTACGCAGTATACAGGGAACTTGGGCTAGGGAATGCCTTTCTGAATTTATAAAAACAGTAATAATTCTGAATTCATTCATATTACACATTAATTTACACAACCATCTCCACTCTCTACATATCATTCTCTATCTGGGGATGCATCTAGTGACTGGAAGTGGACAATTCAATCCCAAATTCACAACAGCTTTCAGGATCCAATCAGGTACCAATTTTCTACAGGCTACAGAGAGGTAAATTCAGATCAATGTCTTGACAAATGCATTGTTAACACTAGATGGGTATGAATACAGAATAATACTTCCAGAGTCAATAACATATCCACTGGATTACATCAACTCTTAAAGATAAGGTTGAGTTCTGCTCAAACGATTAGATTGCGAGAGAAACTGGAAGCGATTGGGAAAGTTGATTAGGTAGTAATTGGTGTACATGTACTGCAAGGTTTTTGAGAAATCTAAATCTAATGAGGATCACGTGCACTGTACAAACTCTTCAGCTCTTTCCTGTCCTATTTTGAATATGAGGTACTTTGAAGTGCAATCATTTCCAGGGGATATTTCTTCAATGATAATCTTTCAAACTACTATACCGTATTTGCCGGCGTAAAGGCCGCAGTATTTTTGGAAGAGAAAATATCAAAAAGTCGGGGTGCGGCCTATGCGGCGAAAGAGTAAAAAAAAATTAAAAAGTAAGTCAAAACCAACACGAATTTGGACATATGGGACTAGATCTACGAACGGTACAATAACTATACATTTCCACACATCTTACCGACAATTTTATTTTGCATTGTTGACATGAAGACGAAAATAAACTTCCAAAAAACAACATCTGCCGATAGATCTTGATCTAAGTTCGTGCCAATGCATTGCAAAAAAAAAAGAAGGGCCCGTTTAACGGAGCTGCCGCGAAGCATCTAGCACGCGAAGTCGCTATTTTGAATCCATTTCAATACACAAGAGAGAGGCGCAATGTATACATCACAGAAAACTCCATATGCTAGCATCAGTGCGGCATGGCCGAGCGGTCTAAGGCGCTGATTTTAGTCACATCAACACTTGAACGAAAAAGATCAAATCCTGACTTTGACAATTTAAATTTTTTTTTTTTTTTTTTAATGTCAAAATCGGGGGTGCGGCCTATACGGCGCTGCGGCCTTATCGCCGGCAAATACGGTATATAGATTTAAGAGCTCACAAATTTGGTTTCATCTTTACCAGAACTCGGCCTTCTCTTAATATAAAAAGAACAAGATCCCTCTTTGAATATAATGTATGACAACATGCCTACACCAAGACAGGCTACATATTGCATATATGCGAACCTGCAGGTAAAGAGGTGGGTAGTGGTATCAAAATGGTTTATACACAACAGTCATACATACATACCCTTGACAGCTGCAGTAATGCTGATGTCAAAGTTGAAAGGGTCATCATGCTGAAGGTAAGGAAGAGGTGTTGGATCCTGAATGGATATAAAAACAAATATCAGCAAAAGATTGAACATTATATAAAGATACATCAAAACCATTACCTGCATTTACTTGTATGTTGTAAAAGAGTTGAGTTACCGTTCTTTGAACCCTATATAGATATTACAAAACACATCCTGGTGTGTGTAACACAGCCATGGTCTTCTCCCAACTCCACGAATGGACACTTTTCATTCATTAGCTGTCATACTGCACAATTTGGCTACAATAAGTACTAAAACAGATTTTAAATCATTAACATGGAAAAAGGGCATCATTTTGTTGAAGCAAAAAGAGGGAAGAAACCATAATGTGTATATCAGTATGTCCATCATGCGATCTTCATCAGGAAGTAACTATTATGCCCATTCTGCTCCTTTATTTTTCTGTTTAAATTTTTTGAATATTTTTAATTTACTGGTATTCAAATATTATATCGCAGTGCTTGGTGTTCAATAGTTTTAAGATTTGCTTCCTAATAAAATATCAGCTTTTTTTTCCATCGATAACCAAATTCATGCCCATGAAACTAGACTTCGGAATTTGTTTCATTTATGGAAAGTAAAAACTTCTTTCTCTAAAAATTCTATTAGAAATACTCAACCCAACATTTGGAACACTATACCACAGGTTATACATTTATACAAGAATACTTTTACATTATATTTTTCTTCCCAATCCCTCTTTTCCACATTAAGTTATTTATTTTTTATGTATTTGCTAGTATCCAAAATATACAATTTATGCTCCACAACAATAACTTTAAAAAAAAGTCAGCTTAAGAGAGAGAGAGAGAGAGAGAGAGAGAGAGAGAGAGAGAAAGAGAGAGAGGGAGAGGGAGAGAGCAGGAGAGAGAGAGAGAGATAGAGAGCGATTGAGAGAGAGAGAGAGGGGGGGAGAGAGAGAGAGAGAGAGAGAGAATGTCTTTCTTTTGTGTACCTGAGCATTGTTGGCTACAAGAAATGGTTCTAAGGCGTCCATAGTCACGACCCAAGGAGACACTGTGGTTGCAAAGTTCTTGCCCAGGAAGGGACCCAAAGGAACATACTCCCACTTCTGAATATCTCTTGCTGAGGTCGAAAGGGAAAGCAGAAAAGGGTGTTTGAAAAAAGAAAGGAAACAAAACATGACATAATGGCATAATGGATCATGACTAATGCAATCTACTTCTCAATCACCAAGGCTTTGCAATTATTTGTAAAAAAAATACTTGGTCTAGAATCAAACCTAGACCAAGTATTTTCTTTTACAAAAATATAGTCCTCGGTGACTTTAACTCCAATATGCTGACTAAAAATACCCTTCAAATAAGGTGCATGAACTTTGTTCCACCTTTCTATTAACTCAGCTTATCCGAGAACCAACAAGAATAACTCCTTTCAGCAGTACTTTAATTGACGTTATTTGTGTTTCTAGTTCAATGCTATCCAATATAAAGCAAGCTGGAACAATTTCAAGTGGACTAAGTGACCACTCCCTAGTCTATTTGATCCTTGGACGTAACACCCCCAAAAGCTAAGCCCCAAATTTTTTCATTTAGATCGTTTAGGCATTTTGTCGTTGAAAACCTATGTAACATACAATGGAATGATCTATTATCGTCCGAGGAGGACGTAGAGTATTGGTGGGAGAAATTCAGTGAAGCATTCAAGGTATTAGGTGATAAATATGCTCCCCATGTTACAGTAAGAAAGAAACTGAGTGGGTCTCCCTGGATTACAAGTGAATACCTGGCTCTATCTAGGGATCGTGACTATTACAAAAGAAAGTTTGACAAACTTAAAAAAATCAGCAGAAGTAGGTCAGGAAATCAATGAACTTTGGGATAAATATAAATATCTCATAAATAAAGTAAATATCTTAAATAAAAAGCTGAAAAGGGACTTTTTTCGCAACAAAATTCAACAATGTGCAAACAAATTGCAAAATTTGTGGAATGTCCTGAAAAATTTACTCCCGAAGAAAAAGGTTTCAGTTAATCCGAATATTAACACAGGAACTCGTATGACTTCAGACAATATAGAAATTGCAAAGTCATTCAATGAATTGTTTGTTAGTGTTGGAAAACTACATTCTCCTCTTAATCAACAAAGTTTTAATTCCTTGAATACATTATCAAGGGTTGAATCAAAGTTTAAATTCATAAGCATAGACTCAGAGTTTGTAAAAAGAGAACTTGGGAAAATTGATGTTAACAAAGCTGTTGGTCTAGATGACTTACATCCAAGATTATTGAAAATCGCTGCCCTTTTTATAGCTGAACCACTTTCAATAATCTTTAACAAATCTTTAAGCTCAGGATGCTTCCCAAGTGATTTCAAAAGAGCCAAGATTATTCCAGTACCAAAAAGTAGTGAAACAAGTGACATTGGCAATTATAGGCCAATTTCTTTATTGTCCTGTCTGTCAAAGATACTTGAAAAGGCAGTCCATGCCCAGCTTTATGATTATCTTCAAGAATACAAACTGCTATCTCAGCGCCAATCGTGTTTTCGCCCAAAGCATTCAACTGCGACTTGTCTAATTGAAATAAACGATTACTTAACAATATTGATTGTGGTTTGATAACAGGGGCGATATTCCTTGATCTAAAAAAAGGTGTTTGATGTTATATCTCACAAAATATTGTTATAAAAAATGCCATATTATGGTATTAATTCTGTTGAATGAAATAGACTGGTTCTCTTCATACCTAATGAATAGGCAACAATGCGTCTCATTTCAAGGTGTCCAAAGCAATTTTCTACAGATTTACTCTGGTGTGCCCCAAGGGTCTATTTTGGGCCCACTCATTTTTTGCTTATTTCTTAATGATACTGTATGTGTAACTTTTGAACCAATGCCTACTGAAACATCTTTATCACTCCCTCATTCTTACGCATATAGATTACTGTTCAGTTGTTTGGGGCAAGTGCAAAAAGAAAGATTTAATCAAATTACAGAGGACGCAGAACAGATATACAAGATTAGTCCTTAATGCGGACTATCTAACCCCAAAAGACACCCTTTTAAGCAGTCTTCAATGGCAAAGTGTTGAAAATAGAATCAACTACCACTACTGCATTTTCGTCTACAAAATACTCAATAATCTAGCCACTTATTATTTAGAATCTTTTGCTTGTAGACGTCCAGTTTACTGTTACTCGTCATTCTACCTATGATAAATCCCATATTTTTCCCGAAACCCAAGACTGAATTAAAAAAATTATCTTTTTCTTTCGTCTCTCCAAGCATCTATATTAAACAATCTACTGACTCATATTTGAACGGCAACTTCACTCCAAATGTCAAAAAAACAAATTAAGTCACTACCTCCATCACTTTAATGTATGCACTGGTACCCAATGTTATATCAGGACTTTTACCATACAGTTAGTTTTGTTTGTTTGTAGTTGAGTAGTCTGTAGTACTTTTATTTCTTGCATTTTACCCATTTGATTTTATGTCTATTTTTATGGCATTTGTATTTGTATTTTTGGGGTCATTTTACTTTGTATCAATAATATCTTAAATGTTTAATATTTTAGGCCTTATGATCATTTTGATCTAGTTTTTAATTTGTTTTTTTATTTATTTGATATAATTTTCTCAATCTCTTATGGTATGTTGTTTATATAATGTCTTTGTTTTCTACAATGTATTCTATTTTGGGGGTAAATCTTTGTATGTATCTTTTGTATCTTTTGTTAAGCAGGCCTTTCTCACTGAAAAGACTACCCTGTTTTTAAATAAAACTGAATAAATAAATAAATAAATAATTCAAAGTATACCGGTTGGTTTTACCAACTAAGCCAGAAAGGAGGCAAAACATTATGGAGCCTCATACATTCTGTACAATATGATGCCTGAAAACCGTTATTAACAGAAGGTGACAAGACAAAAACCTGAAAAAATAGCATGACTGGCATCCCTGATAAATAATCTAAGGGAGCCGTCATCCATTGAAATTGTTTATAATACAAGGCAATTGCTCAATTGTGTCTCACCCACCTGTAACCAAATTACATTAATATTCCCAAAGATCATCCCTGGCTCAAATTTGGTTGCACTTTAAAAAAAAAAGTTATCTTTTACTGACAGTTGCCATGAGTATTTGGAAGCAAGTCTTTATTGGTTGCAAACTCAATTGGACACAAAGAGATTAATGGTTGCAAGGTTATCTGTGACAAGAGAGTCTTACATTTAAACTTTAATATCTGACCCAAATGACTTTTGACCATGGCATGTGACCCTTGTAAGCATCACAGCACCGAGGGTCCCCAGAGAACATCTCTGACCCAAGTTTGGTGAAAAGTGGATTAACGGCTGTGAAGTTATTTGTCACTAGTGTGTGATATGACCTCAAATGACCTTAGCATGCAAAATCTAATGAATTTCAATACAAATATTTGTTTGCATTTTTATATCTTCTCTTTTTTGAAGTAGATACAAACTGAAATTGAAAGGGTAACACATTTTACACTCTCCACATGCATATCATGCCAAAATGATTCCAACAAAACTTGTTTTAAAGAATCTACAAGAGTATGAATGATTTGTATCTTGTTTATTTTCCATTTTTCTAAAATAAAAGAAAAATGTGAAAAAGAAAACTTACCACTCCAATCATTCATCATGACCATACCAAAGATGTGTTCATGAGCACTGCCAACAGGGATGGGTTCACCTAGCTTGTTACCTGGTCCAACAAAGAATGCCTAAAACATTGAAAGAAAATCAATAATAAATTTAATAATGACAATAGAGCTAAGTGATATGAAGTTTCTGTAAGTGGTACAGCCATGTATTATCGCATCTACAAAGAGTTAGAATTATATGCCATGAACACTGTGTTTCTGTGATTTCTCAATCAGACACAGACATCCTTTTACCATAAGTGACCGCACAAATGTGGCCGCTGTAAAGGAGTGTCTTATTCAAAAGTTCTTTGCAGCTCTTCGTTATCGGAAAAGTCAAACAATCATACCATTTCAAGTTCAAAATCCATGAGCTTGCAAGCAGCAAATACTGGAGGTTTGTCTGTAAGCAAAAGAAAATATCAAAATATGTTTTATCACTTCACTGTATACGAAAAAAAATGCACGGATATACATTGTAGTCTGCTTATAGATATAAGAGAGTTGGCGATATTTGAAACTATGACTAAATACTCTTCTAGTGTAGATATCAATAAACAACATGAAGACCAGACAAGTATCGGGTGAGTTTCCTTTGTTCAACCTAATCTATGTTCTAGTCAACTTGGTTGGGTAATAGCACCAGTCCTGCTAGGTATCACACTGTTTCAAGGTTCACTAATTCAAACTTGTTTGTGTAGAGCCTTACCTTCTGGCTTAGACTGTCCACAAGGTCTACGGACTGGAGTACCAGAAATCACTACTGACGAAGCACGGCCGTGGTATGCTACAGGAAGATGCAACCTGGAAATATGAAAAGAGTCATCAAGAATTCCAACAATCATTAGATGAATGAGACCATGCTACCAATGTGGGTCTGCCCTACTGCTTTGGAATAACTAATACATTTTAATAATTCAAACAGTTAGCTCTGAAAGTGCTTTAATCAGGTATCAATTTATAATTTCTTTAAATTATTCTTTATCAACCAGGAGCTGTTCCCAAAATTTCACCCTATAAGTTATTCAGACCATTAAAGTCAGAGCCCAAACAGTCCCCAAAGTCTGTTGGATTTCACCCAATGTACTCCATAAGCCAAACTTTGTCAGTTGGAGGTAGTATGACTGGACATTACAAAACACAACAAAAATTCTGTCAAGATGGGTTGCCAGACAGCCCGTAAACCTTGGGGTCAGTTTTAATGCCAACGGTCCAAATTTTGTCAGAAGAAAAATATAAGCACTGATAAACAAGTCCATTAGGAAGGGGTGTAACACTCCCCTGAAATTAACACTGAAGCACCCTTAAAGAGAAGGTTGAGTTCTGGGAAGAGGTGAAAAATAATTTGTGAGCCTTATCAATGTTATTATGCAAGTGTGAAAGAACATCAGATAAAACATGTTCCCTGAAAAGCATGGCTCTTCAAATGCCTTCATATTCTAAATATGTTATGTAATATCGTTAAAAAAAAATTATACATCTTTCTGTGTACAGTGTTTGTAACTTTACCAAGACTTGGCCAAATTTGTTATCATTTTGATGATTCCAGAACCTTGCAATACTCACAAATACTTATATGCTAGATGATTAACCTTTTCTGGTCGATTCCCCACCGTTTCTTTCACAATTTAATGGCATGACCAGAACTCAACTTCATCTTTAAACCAAGTTTTGATGCCCCAAAACACTCTTGACTTTATACAGAAAAATTATTTTACATCCCAACCTTAAAATCTCCAAAAAAAATTCACCTATTTAATTTTTCACTTTTCCATAGGGTCTTTAAAATTACTATGGTGCAATCTTGAATGTTGTAACTGTCTTGAAGGTCAATTTTGTGGCAAATTGTGATTTAACTGATGATTTAATGAATTGTGAAAACTAGCTTTCTCAAAATAAAATGACCTTGTCAGGATTTTTTAAGCATGTCCATTGACCATCTTCACCTGTTTTGCTAGGTATCTGAGCTATATGGCTGCCATGCTGACGTTCAAAAATACCCACTGCTTTTAAGGATCGATACTTACCAGTTTGGTTGCAGGGCATTGTCTGGTCCTCTGAACATGGTACCAGTGTTTGTAGCATGGTATTTAGAAGAGAAGAAATCAGTGTAGTCTCCAATAGATGCAGGAACATGCATTGCAGCGCTACTCTGGGGAACAAATGCTCTGAAAGAAATGAAAAGAAATTCCTCTTCTTAATAAAAAATCCATTAACTCGTTCATAAAAAGGTCATTTGTCAAATCAATAAAGGATCAATGCATGCTGAAATTTTGTTTGTTTTAATGCTTCTTGTCTTATATCATTTGATAAGATTCTCCTACATTTTAAACAAAAATATAATATTATTCAAAAGAAGAGACAAGCTGAAAGGGGAATTAATAAGAAAGAGGGTTGAGGAACTAGGACTCTTATGTTATTTTTGGCCTTGGGATTAATGGTGGGTATCGTATGTAGCAGTGTTTTAACTCATTCTTTTGGATCTATATAACAATCAACTTGAACACACAATCTCTTCCAACATGAATTTGATGAGTTTCTACCTTTCCCTGAGATCAGCATTATCTCTGAGAGTAGGTTCATCAGCTGCAAGAAGCCGTTGAAGAGTAGCTCTAGCTTCCTTCCAGGCAGGTCTTCCAAGTGCCATGAACTTGTTCAGAGTTTCCTGAATAAAAAATTTGTAAACAACATTTCTTTAACCCTTTGCATGATTTGGGAGCCTATCATGCCTACAGTAGAATCATTTGAGTAAATTCCTAGCAATACAAAATCACATTTTCAGAGTATTTCAAATTAAAAAAAGAAAGAAAAGAGTATCATAGGGGTTTTAATAAGAATGTACAAATTAAAGATAAAGACCAGTTCTGGTCATGCGATTGCATTGTGAAAGAAACATCGTGGAATCAATCAGAAAAGGTTCATCATCTAGCATACAAGTATTGGTGTGTACTACAAGGTTCTGGAATCATCAAAATAATAAGAAATTTGGCCCAGTCTTGGTATAGTATAGTTACAAGCACTGTACACAGAAAGATGTATATGGGACTACGCGACACGTGCGCAGTATCTATCAGGTCCAAATAAATCAATTAGTAGGCGGTTCCTCTGCAAAATTTGTGTCATCACGTATTAGTCAAAACATATTCTTTCACATGATTGGTAATAAATAAGAGCTTCCATTTCATTTTTTGAGATGGGGACGTTTCCAAAACTGGTCTTTACCTTTAATGCACTATGAATATGACTGACAAAGAAAGCGAACAAAATATACAGTTCCTCAGGTAGACAAAGGAACATCCCTTCACTGCTATTATGTACAAATGTGTGGAACAGGTGTCACATGCATATTCACTTTTTACATAATAGCAGTGAAGGGATGTTCCTTTGTCTACCTGAGGAACTGTATATTTTGTCCGCTTTCTTTGTCAGTCATGTTCATAGTGATGGTTCAATAAACTGATATGAGGTACTTTCAGAAGAGTTTAGTTTACTATTGGCCATTCATCAAAGTGATACATAAATTGTACTATAAATACATGTAGCTTTATTATGGAAAGACTAAAAAATTCAATATTTAAACAGTTTGATTAGTTGAGACAGTATCTCAAATGTTATGGATTACTTACTGTACTTCATACATGTAGTTGATATCATATCATTGGTTTTTATAGATATTTAATTATTTATCAAACTGTATATTTTTTATTTTAAAAATAGAAAATTCTCTAGAAATGTCATTCCGTAATGCTTGGAAATTACCAAAAGTGATAAACCTGGGCTGAGATTCCTTTTATCCCCAACAATCACAGACAGTTAAATACAAAGATTGTTCCCATGAGATACATTTCATACTCAATCCCAACAATCAAACAAATTTAGGACATTCCCAATGCGGCTCTTAAAAGTTCATTTGAAATAATTGATGGTAAAAAACTGAAAGAATTTGAACGTAACAAGGTGACAGTGTCAGGATATGAATTACGATTTGTGTGGATCACCCCTGATTGTATGAAGAACTGAATGTTTACCATCTTTCAATATTTGTCAATACTTCATAACATTTATCACATTACATGGTTACCTAATCTGTATAACTACATGTACATGTTGATTTGTATCTTTAAATGTTACCTGCCCTGCATGGACCATTAGCAAGTCAAAGTCCTAGGATTTTCTTATTATTTAATATACAAACCTGTACATACAGTTTGTATCAAAATTGTTTTATGCCATGTTTGTATGCCTACCAATGCCTACCAACAAAAAAAGATATTGTATTGTATTATATTAGCAATGAATTACCAAAATAGGTTTGCATTATGTGAAATTGAAAACAGTAGACTACATGTATGTCACAAAGGAAGCATGAAGAAATATAAAATAAAATGTTTGAATCCCCAGGCAAACCAACTATCATATCAACAGGAAGTAGGTACCAGGCAGAATTAACAAAAAGTCACATGGTATGACTAAGTTCTTCTAGTTACATTAAACTTTAGGTATCGCTTACTAAAATACATGAGGGTAGTTCTTCTTATAATGCAAGGTAGTTTGGTGTGTGCATTCATGCATCTGCTGGTACATCGTGTCCTATAAAAAAAATCAGTATTAATTAACAAACATCCCACAAAGAAAGTAAGCGTGGAAATGCTTTCTGAGTGACCAAAAATTAACCATTCACAGGACAGCGTCGGATCCAGAATTTTCCAGAAGAGAGGTGGGGGCAAAGACAAGGGTGCAAAGCACAATGCAACAAAAGTGTAAACATGAGTCCTTCTGGGTGGGGTTTAGGGGCAGCGAAGACCCCGGACGCTCTAGAGTTTTAGCAATTCAGAACCTTCACAATTAAACTGTATTGAACGATAACAAATCCAGCCCTTGACATTTGAATTGCACTGCCACAACTGGTAAATTTTGAAGGAAATCATTTCTCTCTCTCTCACACACTCTCTCCTAAGGACAAATTTATAGAACAAAGGGTTGTCTTGGGGTCCAGCAGAAGAGCTTTTGCTGGGGATCTAGGGGTCGGGCCTCCTGAAATTCTTGAATTTTTAACCAACGAGAAAGTTAAAAGTCGCCTTCACAAGCGATAGAAATTGTAATTTCTTCCTCGAAAGTCACATTACCCCTATCATTCGTCTACAATCTTTGTAGGGACAACTCAAGCCAACTCATTGGAAATGCAATAGATCTGTATGAGTAAACTTACGTTTCATTTTCTTCCAATTTTTCCTTCTTTTTCTCTCCTTTTCAGGGACGATAGTGAGCACTAAAATAAAAGAGGTTTTTTTTTTCTTCCCCCTAGCCTCAACCCCCTTCAGTAAAAAAAAAAAAGGAAGAAGAGGATTTGGGGGGGGGGGGGGAATGGCATCTAACAACATTCTCCTCCTTTTTGAGTAAGAAAAATTAGGAAATAATAGGGAAAAATAAAGAAAATAAGGGAAGAATAGAGAAAATAAGGGAAAAAAATCTGGAAGAAAAAACAACAAAAATCGGGAAAGTGATTTAAATCAGGTTTTTATCAGGCCTGCTTTTCCTCTCTTATACATTCATTTCTCTTTCTTTTCTCCTTTTTCTCCTGTTACTCCATTTTACCCATTTCTGTTTTTTTAGGCCGTCACAAAAAAGGAGGACTGCACCTCCTCCAATCCCCCCCCCCCCCCTCCTTGATACCAAATTATATGTTTATGAGGGTATTAGGCATAACAGCTTAAAGTGAGGTTTGATTTTCATCCTTTTAAATACCTTGCGGACCTGTTACTCATGAGTAGCAATTTAAAGAAACAAATTCCTTCTCTAGATCTCTCTCTTTCTCCTTTTGATGTTTATTCTTTTCTCCTTTTTTGGTAATGTCACTCTCTTTTTTAGGCTGCCAAGGGGGGAGGGGGGAGCAGCCGAATCGGCCCTTTCCCCTTGATCCGCCACTGCAGGATACTGCACCAGTTCAGAAGCAGTTGTTTTCATGTGAATCCTTATCCAACTTTATCCAACTGTCTTTTTAGAAATGCATTATTACAATTTACAAGCAGTACATTTATCACATGTTTCTAGAAAACATGCTTTACCCTAAAAGATTGCCTAATGTATAGAAAGCCAAAGGTCAATTTATACAAAGAGATACAGTCTATTGTCTCTCTTTTATCTCCCTCTCTCTCTCTCTCTCTCTCTCTCTCTCTCTCTCTCTCTCTCTCTCTCTCTCTCTGGTTGCAATAGGGTTTTCTCTAATCGACCCTGTAGCTGGTAAAAAGATCGGGGGCCGATCACTGCCGATTTTACATAAATCTTATGATAAATTCTGATCGCCAATCAATGAAAACTGATCAAAAGATTGAATGACAATGAAGAACAAAAAATGTGTGCCCACAAAAAGGGCTGAAAAGTTTTGGGCTTTCAAAAACTAAAAACATGCATACCGTAGCTGGGATTATTTTGTCATTTGGAGTTGTGGTAACCCAAGTTTGTTGATATTTAGTGCCTTTTCATTTATTTATTTCTGATATTAGAATTTTAATAAAGATTAGTCTAATAGGAGAGACAAAACATATGAGCCGCCATTTGGGATTATAATGACAATGGAGAAAAAAATTGTGCCTACAAAAAAAAAGGCTTAGATTTTGGGCAAGAATTGGGCAATAAAATACTAAATAACATATGGATTATTTTGTCATTTGGAGTTGTTGTAGACCATGTTTGTTGATGTTTTAGTGCCTTTTCAAGTTTTCATGCCTCTGAAATTTAAATTACGTTAACTCTAATGAGAGTCTCTGCAGGGTATGCATGTGCTCCTATTATTACCTATATTCAACAAATTTTGTGGATGATTTCATTCCATTTTTTGTGATAGTAAATGCTAGTTCCTATAGACTGTGACATCATCTTGTAAAGCTCAACAAACTATTAAATATGCTATTAATTTATGGTAATGTAATGTTGAGTGGGGAAATACACATGTAGCAAAATTACGCAGCTTATATACTTTTATAAAAAGGTAGGAGTATGCACAGTACATGTACTAAGTCAAAGTTACCTCACACAGTCTAAATCATTATTTCAAGAACTGAACATTAACATTTTTCAACTTATTTATTATTTCTGTGCAATATTGCTTTTCAAACATAAAATGACTAGTTTTATTCAAATTCTATATGCTAATCTCGAACAGTTCAATATATCATTTATGGGCTGTTGATGGAAACTATTGTTTCTTTCACTTTCAGATACAAAGGAATTGTTATATAGAATTCCCTACTTAATGAAATCACATATGTTTTTTGTAATAGTTTTTAAGAGGAAATTTAAAAATAATTCTAATTCTTAATTTTCATTCTAAAAGTTAAGTTTTTTTCCTTTATTCAGGGTTGTGGTATTCCTCTCCCCACCCCTACCCCTTATATCTTATTCTTTGTTTCATTAGTTATCTTTTAAATGGTTTTGTTTTACATATATATTCCAAATGTTTAAACTTTAAATATCCTTTCCTCTTGCATTAGACTCTAAGAGCACTTCCCACTTTACTACATAAGGGGATCGCCTTGGTCTTTCATGGTACCCTTGATTATTTGCATCAGCTCTGTATTTCTGTTTATCAGATTGTTAAGGAATGACTTGTACTGTATGTGTATATGCTTTTAATGGATTTTAAAAAATTGAACTTGAACTTGAACTTAAATGAAACCTCCTAGGTGAACACACCTTATGTTCTCCTGTACCCTGTACCTAGCTTTTGGTAAAGAAATTACATTGTCTGTTTACCTCAGTGAACACATCGTTGCACTCTGACAGGATGGCTCCATTAAATAGATCCTTGATCTGAGAGAGGTCTAGTATCACAGCTCCAATTGCAACACCAATCCTTTGTTTGCTCTGCAGACAAAATAAGACAGAAAAAAAAAACATATTAATAGTTCATTCTAAAAGCACATCTCTGGAAGTGAAACCATTCATTCCTAATTTAATACATAATTTAACACTACAGTATTGAATCTGAACATCAAGCTTCCAAATTCATGAATTTGTCGCGTATCATTGTTTTGTGAAACAGGTTCCTGACGAGATCCAGTGGTCACAAACAAAAATATGACTGTCTTCCGGGGGCCGTTTCTCGAAACCGTCATAACTACAAGATCAACGACATCTCGCCACTGTCACGCAACTTGTCAGCTAAGTGTTTCACGAAGCCGTCTTTGCCAAGATGAGCGACAACTTCCGCGACAAACGAGTTGTCACTGCTCCGAACCCGTCATATCTTTTTAATTGCTGTAAAGCGCCATCACAAGTCAGTTTGTTGCCATTCCATGGGCCGCAAAATGTACGATTAGTTTCACTATCATTTTGAGAAAAATATAGACGAGTTCGGTACGTAATTCTCTGGGATGCGAAATGCAAATGTACAAAAGTGAGAATACAAATTATACAGAAACTTTAAAAAGCTGAATTTAAACATTAAATCACAAATCATTAAACTATAACATATAAATAAGAGAGATAAGAATGTTACACACCGTTTTCCATAGTCGATTCATAGTCTTTCTTAGGATACCATTGTACCTCTGGGGCCTATGTGCATTATTATTCCCTCTCTAATTACTTCTTTCAAATTATATTTTCAATATCAAATCAATTATATAACGAGTATTACGAGTCTCTAGAATAAAAACTGGCTGAGAAAAGGTATTTTGCCTAAAATTCCTCGTCACAATAAACAAAAAAAGTATGTATTGATAAACTATCACATTAGTGACATTACGGTATCCTTCAACTACCTTTTGAGTGGATTGTCGAGAAAAAAAAACTCACCGGTTTTTCTTCAATTTAAGAATCTCTACAGAAATATGCAAATCGTTTGATGATCTACATTTGATAATGACACTATTTGTTATTTATTTTAGGAGAATTAATATGTATATGTTTCTTTTTGAACAATTTTAGCCCCAAAACTTGTTTTGGGTTATTCGTGATAAATCAAATGGATCGTGACAAAGACTATGTTCTTGAGCTGCTAGTATCGCGATATATCGATATCATGTCTGTCATGGCTTTGTGAAACGGTTTATCCACTTCATGACATCTCCGTAGGTCGCCGACAAAGATATGACTGTCATGGAGTTGGTTTCGAGAAACGGCCCCCCGGTCTCCAGGCATCTTGAAGTTGATCTTCACACAATTAATAGACCGGTTTACTAACATAATTCAAATTTATGGATGTTTCTTTCTTGGGGACCTAGTGACAAGATATTCCACTAAAAGTGTTATGGAGCCTGTGATTAATGGACTACATTATTACATGCATGTGAAGATATATTGACTGCTATGAGAGGCATTTTGGTAAAGTTAGCGAGCGTTATAATGAATTACTCACATGAATTTAATGAGGATCTCAGATTCTCAGATTACATTTGCTAACTTCACACAAGCGCGCCCACACCCCACCGTCGGTACGCTATATGGTATGCAATTGTATTGTGCAGTGGTTTGCTGTGAAACCTGAAGTCTTCTTTAGGAAAAATATTCCAAAAGGATAGGAAAATTGACACGAAGCAGGTAAGAAACATAACAAATTTTAAATCATGACCAATATTTGAACAATTGAGGAAGATTTAGTTGATTTTTGGTATGTTTTATTACTAATATTACTAGGTCAAAGTCTGGATACAATTGAACTCCAGGGAGCTCCACCACCGAAGGCTTCGGAAGAGTCTTTTTTAGGACCAGCCACCAGGATCAGGATAAAGGCAGGAATTCCCACTGAAAATGAAGACTTCTTCAAATGCCCAGAAGGCCACAGGAGTCAAAAAACATTGTAGAGGTCTAGAAAATGCAAAATTATAATTTCTACAATTACTAGGTCTAGACTAAGCCTGGCCTAGACTAGACTAGGCTACTTCAAATTCTTTACATTTTTAAAAAATGTGACCCAACCCGCTGTTAAGCTGTTTGAAATGAATCATTTTCCTATAGCCAGTATAGATCTAGGTCTACTGTGCAGAATGCAAGCTCTCTCTGCAGTTCCGACATCTTCGGCGGCGGAGCACCCGGCTCCCTGGATCGAAGTTAGCTGATATTTTCAATAAGCGCTATAACTTACGTTAGATGCAGTCGAAAACACTCCATACGGTAAATTCTGAATGGGAAAGTTACATTCCGGACCGTACTCGATGAAAGATTTCGACATGATTGAGCCAGAAGATATCCACTCCACTTTAAAGTGCTTTTCCAAGTTTCGATTTCCTAATTAAATTGATGTAGCTCAGCTCAGCTCCTTCTTTATGCCTAGATCTAGTATACACACAGTACATACAAGTACACTATTTTACAGTAGCTATATACGTACACGTGGGTATGGGGGTTCGGACGTACGCGCGATCGACCGGTATTAAACTAGCCAACAATAAGCCAGCGCACAACATTAACAAGCCTGCCACCACACATCGGATACACGGTTACGAGAGAGAAAGGAAATAAATCGCTCAGCTCAGGCATGGTCAAGATTCAAGATTCAAGATTTGTTTATTTCTTTCCACTTGCATAAAAAAACATTTCATTCAGTAACAGTAGTAACAAGTTCATCGTAAACTAGCATAAAAACATTAACAATGAAACAGTTATAAAGACTTTAACAAATGTGGAAAAAGAGGTGGTCTGTTAAAAAAGCACAGCTTGTTAAAACACAGATCACCTTTACAGAAACAACATTTTTTTTAAAAGAAGTAGGTTATATTACAGGGGGAGGGGGACTAATACTAATCTAGTTACCTATACAGACTATAAATAAATATCAGATCTACCACTAATTTACAAAATATGGTAGACTAAAAAAGAAAACAGAATAAAGATAATGGAAAAGTAAAGAAATAGGGGAAGGAGGATAATGTACAACACGGGGGGGGGGGGGACAATGCTATTCCAGTTACCTATATTGAATACTAATAAAAATCATATCTATTCACTGTAGGTGTACAGTAGATGAAATTTCAGCTTACGTTTGAAGACAGAAGAGTCAAGATCCACTCGAATGTTTCAAAACCATGGACCCTACCAAAAAGGGTCCATGGTGGAACGCTTTGGCGGACAAGTCGTATATGTTGTATATACTCCAGGCGCGTAGCCATGGGTGGGGGGGGGGGGGTGGGCGGTGGGGGCAGTCGCCCTCCCCCCCCCAAAAAAAAAAACGCCGCCCCCCCCCCCAAAAAAAAAGAGAAGAAAGGAAGAAAAGGGATTAAGAGTCGAAAACGGTCCTACGAATCGAATCGTCTTCTTTCTCGAATACTTTATGAAACGTCAAAGCTTCCGCGCTTCGTGCACCCGCTTCCGCATGCGGGAGCGGGGAAACTGAATTCAGACAAGGATTTAGAGTCGAGAACTGTAAACGAATCGTCTTCTTTCTCTAAATATTTAATGAAACATCAGAGCTTCCGTGCTACGCGCGGAGGAAGTGGAACTATTCAAACAAGGATTAAGAGTCAAGGACGATGCAACGTTTCGCCTTCTTTCTCTAATGAAACGTCAAAAGCCAAACTGAATTTAGATAAGGATTAAGAGTCGAGGACGGTCCAACGAATCATCTTCTTTCTCCAATATTGTAATAAAACGTCAAAGCTCCCTCCCTGCACCCATGCACCCCCTCGGGAGCGCGCTACGGGCGCTCTGTAAGTGATTCGCACGCTTCGCGTGGTCACCAAAGACGTTAAATATAGGCCCTATATTGTGCTCACTACCGCCCTCTGAAATGAAATCCTGGCTACGCGCTTGATATACTCTACGGTTTTATGAACCCTAGAATCGGGCTCCAAGTTGAAATTTTGGGAGATGAATTGCTTGAAAACGGGTAAGGCGTTACTGGAAAACCTATGGTGGTAGGTTTAATAGTGGGAGGATCATCATTCCCATTAACCCCAAGGTAATTGTACCACTTTAATCATCATTGGGTTAATGATCGAGGGGGCATCCTTCCAATATCCCACCATTATTTTTTCAGGAATAATCTTATAAACTAGTAGTGTCATTTTCAAGTAATCACTTTCCAAAATTTCTAAAATAATATTTTAGGTTAATTGAAATAAAGTAAGGAATTCAAAAAGTGACGGGCTAGTAAAACTAGACCTCTGGTCCCACTTAAAAGGTAAAGACCAGTTATGGTCATGCGATTGCATTGTGAAAGAAACGTTTTGGAATCGATCAGAAAAGGTTGATCATCTAGCATCTAGCATCTGCAAGGTTCTGGAATCATCAAAATGATAAGAAATTTGGCCCATTCTTCGTAAAGTTACAAGCACTATACACAGAAAGATGTATATGGGACTACCCTATATCTCTCACAGACCATGAGAGAAACAAATTTACCAAATATATGAATTAGTAGGCGGTTTCCCGGCAAATTTTTTATCATCATGTATTAGTCAAAACATATTCTTTCACAGTCATTATTGGTAATGAGAGCTTCCATTTCATTTTTTGAAATTGGGGCGTTTCCAATACTGGTCTTTACCTTTAACCACCGTGAGATGACCCCCCCCCTCCTCAAATCTACCTTTTCCAGCAATCATTTCCCCCAATTTAGGCTGGATCGAGGCCCGGGGGCGGGGGGGGGGGGGTACTCACATATTGGGACATACGGGGGTGTGCCGCTCTAACGGGTGACTTTTTCACACACAATTTTGAAACATGGCTCTTTTTTCGAGTAAAATGTGCTTAGTTTAGTGTGTAACAAATGACGCCTGGCTGGAATGCTCCCCAGGGAGTGGAGAATGTGCATACATTGTGTGCGGATATAAGCCTGAATCCGATGACCGGGGTAATAATATATAATCTGTAAAGCGCTTTGAGAGGGCCTGCGGTCCTCAAAAAGCGCTATATAAGAACGAGCTATAAAGGTGTTCATCCACCCCCCTTGGCAAACAGATGGGTGTTTAAATTTAGAATCTTAAAGACACCATTGAACTGTGTTTTACCTATGTCTCCCCCCGCCCCCTGAAAAAAAAGCTTTATAATGTTTTTGTTTGGGTTGCTCGGGGGGGGGGGGGGGGGGGTGGGGTGGATGTTAAGGGAAAACCTCCCCCCCAAAAAAAAAAAAAAAAAAAAAAAAAAAAAAAATCCCAATTTCATATAGCCTAAATCCCATTTCACAGCCTTTCAAAGAGCACATATTTTATTTTGTTTGTGTCTCAAAATGTGCACATTTGGCCTATCGATATTTCGTTTCGTTGGGGTGGGGGTAAGGTCAGCTTTTTGGGTCACCCATTACCACAATTTAATTTTTTTTATTTTTTTTTTATTTTTATTTTTTTTTAATTAAAAAAAAAACAAAAGGGGGGGGGGAGGTTATACTCCAAAACACACTCATAACAAAATGTAAAGGGGGTTTCAACCCCCACCCCCCCAACCCCCCTGCGTACGCGCCTGCACCTACACCCTTTTAAAGTGGAATATTTATTCGCTTTGGAATGGTGATTGTTTAGTTAAAATGTAATACGATAGTTTAAAATCATATCTAATCTCTTAGGCCTACTCCTTTCACCGTTATACTGTCATCGTAATTATTTGAATGTATAATTATTGTTCTCATAAAGCTTAAAGGTATTACAAAGTTTTGGTATGGGGTCATGAATTTGGTTCAAATTATGAACATAGGCCTATTGGAAACATAATATGCGATCCTACAATATTCAGTGATCGTTGTCGCGGTTGAAATCGAGTCTAAAGTGATGAAATCGTAAATAATAAACTCTTTTCGGTGTATAGCTCCCTCTCAAGGTCAAGATTTAGCTATGAAACAATGAATGTTTCTTGACTAAAATCGACCGATTGGCTATTCCCGTTTGGAAATTATATACCACAACTATTATTCTGAGATTTTCATGGTCGCAGCTACCATTATATGGCCGTATAGACGCTATTTGAAAATTATCGAAATTTACCGGGAGCACCTGTAAATTTTGATATTCAATTTTTCTCGAAAGCAGAAGTGTTTTAGGGGCTACATTTTCTAATGCTTATAATACATCCACAGGGGCATCCAAATATTTCAAAATTGTAAAGAATCAATATCCAGCCAATTTTCAACATTTCCCAAAACTCTATGATGATTATATTGAATAGCAGTGGAGAGATATTTTTAATCATTGAAGAAACAGTCAATGAAAAGTCGTAGTAGGGTTGACTTGCTAATTTATTCTATGTCAACTAATTCCATCACACTTGCTCCGTGAAAACTGTATGAACAAAACATGATAAAGAAAAAGAACAGATTATAAGTAATTGTTCATACAGGCATTTTCGAATACATGTGTATAAATAATATCATCAGTTCGCCTATTAAATGCAGTGATTAATAACAAATGAATTTCTTCTCTTTGTCTCTTATCATTTGTGTATATGCAATTATCTATAAACAATACCTTCACTCAAGTCACGTGACCAATATTCGTGGTAGATAGTTTGAATCACAAAGACTTATTAGCATAACGCATATCAATGACTGCGTCCTTCTTATAGCGGACACGTCATTCGTATCGTTAATATCGTATACCTATTTACGTGCATACAATTAACATTGCCTTACGTAGCACCCTAGCTTACACTCTATATCGTATATATCGTATACCTGTTTTACGTGCATCTAATTTGCATATATATAACGTCCACTACAGCCGTATACGGTATCATACGTGTCCGTGCATACACTAATACTACACACACCATTCATTATCACTTAAGCATATTAGATTACATTCATATCATCATTTCTCATTATTTATACTATTTATACTCGTTATACATTAATATATCGAATTAACGAACCTTCTTGCCTCCTTATTGTTGCAAACGGGTTGGCTTCGTATCAATAACAGGTGTAATTTAGGACAAGATTTCGGTGCGAACATCCAATTCGTTGCTACTGCTATGTCGGAATTAGGAAAGCGTAGATGGCGCTATTTCAGCCCATGACGTAAGTCAGAATACTCCTTTTTGTCAGATAAACTAACTCTCATAAACGATCACATTAACATGGCTCCTTTAAATTAATAATTAATTTACCCCTTTTTAGCTTCATAGAAATGACTTGGATTATTTGTTCCTTATCAACATTAATAGTTCAAAATATATCAATATATGTATACATATAGATCTACATCTCAAAATTTCAATTTCTACTTATCTTGAAACGTACATGATCAATTGCGCATGCAGGAAAACAAATCTTTATTCAAGATTTACAGTTCAAATTGTATCGTGAGATTACTTCATCTCTAGTACAGAGCTTGTACCAAGTATCTTATTACAGCATCTGAGTTAAATTAAATTTAACCGCGAGTCTCAAACACTCAGACCTTGCAACTCACCATTTATGACTAGCAATTAGCTGTATTTGCAAGTACTGGATTTAGAAATCGAGAAAATAACCTGGATCAACTCTCAGTTCAA